GACAAAGAATACATAGTCAAGAACTGGGCCAATTTGACCTGTACCTTAAAAAGTGGAAAGTGGGACTGGGAATGTGGCTTACCACTAGAGCGCTTGCCTGGCATGCATGAAGCCCTGAGTTTGATTCCTCCATACCCCACAAACAGAAAAAGCTGGAAGTGGCACTGTGGCTCAGTGGTAGAGCACTAGCCTTGAGCAAAAAGCAGCTCAGGGACAGTGCCCAGGCCCTGAGTTCAAGCTCCGGGACTGGAAGAGGAAAGGTGACAAAATGGGGTGTGACAAAAGAAAACAAGTGGATGAAGTGCTTGAAAGAACACTGTCAGTAGTGAAAAGGCCATCGATAGGCTGGGGGAAAATGTTTATAAATCATGTATCTCATAAGGAAATAATACATACAGAACTCATAGCAAAATGAAGTAAAAAATAAGCAAATAATTAGAAAAGCCATTTCTCCAAAGATACAAGTGGCCTTATGAAAAACCTGACTCATGTCACTAGGCATTACAGAAGTGCATATCAAAAGCATAGTAAGACCACTATGGCCATTATTAAAACATTCTCAAAAGTTAAATTGCAACTTTTTGAGCATAGCTGGTAGGAATGTAAAATGACATAGATGTTGTGGAAAAGTTTAGGAGTTCCTCCAAAAACTAAATCCCAGCTATTTAGAAAGTAGGAACAAGGTCAAAGGCCAGCCCAGGGCAAAAGCAAAATGACCCTCTCTGGTAAAAAAAACAAACAAAAAAACACCCAACCCATAAACTAAAGGACTGGGAACATGGCTCAAGCAGTAGAGGACCCTGCCTGGCAAACACAGGGCCCTGTGTTCAATCCTCAGTATCCCAGGGGCCAAAACAAAGAATTAGTGTAGAATTCTATTTCTATCACACACCCCTAGTCTGCAAGTGCTCACTGAAACATTATTCACCCAGCCAAAAGGTGAAAACATTCCAAATACCTATCAACACATGAACAGACAGGAACAGACAAACAAAATGTGATTTACAAATACAATCAGTTTTCAGGTTTAGGAAGGAAAATTCTAGCATACGCTCCAACATGGATAAACCAGATTTTAAAAGGGCAAGTATCATGGATCTTCAGTTCCAGATTATGAGACTTAGAAATGCTTTCATGGAGTTTAAAGTAGCATTAAAGCTGTAGAAGTCAATGGGATAATGGTGACACCTGTGCTTATAAATTAATATAAATTAACTCTGTGAATAGGAATGAAGGCCAATTTTTAAAAAGAAAGAAGATGGAAAATTTTAAATACTTATTTTATTAGACTGTTTAAGCAGTACTCAACAGCAAGATCAACTTCGGTGTCACATTATAAAATGGGATGTCTACAACTTTTAGTGATTGCTTTTGCCAGGCAAGAGAGAGGAAAAGAGGCAGGGGAGAATGCAGAAGAGAAAGACAGACCACAAACATTACTAGGCAGTAAAATAACAATACCCAAGGTCTTGACTTGAAGTCTCACAACTCCTAGAGCTGTCTCCTGAGCCCATCCGCCTTCTCTTGGAAGGCTGAGTCCCATCGTTTGAATTCTCTTCATTATCATCCTATGCATTTAAAAGATTCAAAAACGGCCACGGTTAGAGAAGTGAGAATAAACATCAAAGAAATGTTTTCCAGAAGTCCCCACGAAGGGCAGCGGGGTTGTAACCCTGGAACTGGCCGGGGCGGAGGCTCCTTCTCCGAGGGGTCCGGAGCCGGCGGAGGCGGCTTGCCCTCGGGTCGCCGGTCGTTCGTTAGGAGCCCACGGGGCGGGGGTGCCCACGGGGCGGGGGTGCCCACGGGGCGGGGGGTGCTCGAGCGGACGCCCACCGCGACGCAGGCGCCGGGGACGCGCTCTCCCCCCGCGGGGCTCGGTGGCCGGCGGACTCTGGGTGGAGCTCAGGCCGGACGGACCCCTCCGTCGGGGGGCGGCGCGGACGGACCCTCCAGACGCCCACGCGGAGGGGGGCTGAGCCGCCGCCCGGCGCCGCACAGGTTTGCGGAGGCTTAAGGAGCCCTCCTGTTCCCAGCCAGGGCGGCCAGGGCCCGGACTGCCGTCGGGGGCGGGGGGGGGGGGGGGGCGGGGGAGGGGTCTGCCGTCTGGGGTGGATCTGCGGGCGGGGACGGTGGGGGGGGTCTGCCGTCGGGGGCGGGGTCTGCGGTCGGGGGTGGGTCTGCGGTCGGGGGGGGGGGTCTGCCGTCGGGGGCGGGGTCTGCGGTCGGGGGGGGTCTGCAGTCGGGGGGGGTCTGCGGTCGGGGGCGGGGGGGGGCGGGGGAGGGGTCTGCCGTCTGGGGTGGATCTGCGGGCGGGGACGGGGGGGGTCTGCCGTCGGGGGGGTCTGCCGTCGGGGGCGGGGTCTGCGGTCGGGGGCGGGGTCTGCGGTCGGGGGGGGGGGTCTGCGGTCGGGGGGGGATCTGCCGTCGGGGAAGGGGGTCTGCCGTCGGGAGGGGTCTGGAGTCGGGGACAGGGGGGGGAGTCTGTGGTCGGGGGCGTGGCGGGGGTCTGCCGTGGGGGGGTCTGTGGTCGGGGGCGTGGCGGGGGGCCTGCCGTGGGGGTGGTCTGCCGTCGGGGGCGGGGGTCTGGGGTCGGGGACGGAGGGGGGGGGGTGTCTGCCGTCGGGGGCGGGTCTGTTGTCCGAGGCGGGAGGGGAACGGGTCTGCCGTCGGGCCGGGCCTGCCCTCGGTGTTGTTCAGTCCCACGCCAGGCACCGGCTCGGGCCTCCGGCCAAGGATCCAGACGCTCTAGCTTAGTCGGACACAGGGGCTCAGACGGACGGACACTCGGGGACACGGACATACGGACGGACGTACACTCGGAGACACGGACACTCGGACGGACGGACACTCGAGGACACGGATACACGGACGGACGGACACTCGGGGACACGGACGCACAGCCCTCAGACGGGCGGCGGCCGCACCGCACACACTCCAGGGTGAAGTTCGCCGCCCCCTCCGCGGCGCGGCGCCCCGGCGCGGCGGCGACCCCTCCGGCGGGCCCGCGGGCCCCGACCTCCACCCCCGCCAGCCCGGCCGGCGCCCGCACGGGGCCTCCGCGGGGCTCGGGGCCGGCCCGCCGCGCCGCGTCCGCCCCCGCCGTCGCACGCACTTCCGTCGGCGCCCGGCCTCCGCCGCGGGCCGCCACACTTGTGGCTCGCCGCCCCGCCGCCCCGCTCACCTTCGGGGACTGCGCTCCGGGGGTGGCCGGGTCGCTGTCGCACGGCCGCGGGGACAGCGCCGCCCCGGGCCCGGCCGCCGCCATCAGCCCCAGCGCCCCGCGTCGTCGCCGCCGCCGCCGCCGCCTCCTGGTCCCGGCCGCCGCCGCCGCCCCCGCCGCCCCCGCCGCCGCCGCCGCCGCGCGGGCCGCCCGGCGCCCCGGCCCCGCCCCCTCCGCCCGCCCGCCCGGGGGCCGGCCCCTGCCGCCGCGCGCCCCGCGGCCGGCCAGCGCCACCGCCATGCCGCCCGCGCCCGCACGCCGCCCGCCGCCGCCTCCGGCCCTCGGCCGCCCGCGCCGCGCCCCGCGCCCCGCCGCTCCCACGCAGCCCGGGCGCGCCGCTCCTCCCGCCGCGCCGCTGCCTCAGCCCCGCCCCGCGCCGAGCGCGCTCGCCGCCGCCGCCGCCGCCCCGCGCCCGCGCCCCCGGCCCGCGCGTCAGCCTCCGCGCCGCCCGCCGGCCCCGCCCCGCCGGCCCCGGGGACCCCGCCGAGCCCCGCCCCCCCCGCCGCCCGCTCCCCAGCTCGGGGGTCGCAGACCCTCCGGGCATCCGGGCCCCGGCCCCGCCCCGGCCCCGCCCTCAGCCCGGGCGCTCATTGCCTCCGGGCCCTCGCCCCGCCCCCGCTCCAGGCCCCGCCCTCAGCCGGGGCCCACCCTGCTTCCGGATCCTCGCCCCGCCCCCGCTCCAGGCCCCGCCCTCAGCCGGGGCCCTCCCTGCTTCCGGATCCTTGTCCCGCGCCAAGCCTCGCCCTCAGCCCGGGCGCTCGCGGCCCTTGTCTTGGGGGCCCTGCCCCCGCCCCGGCCCCGCCCTCAGCCCGGGCGCTCATTGCCTCCGGATCCTTGCCCCGCCCCGGCCCCGCCCCCAGCTCGGGCGCTCATTGCCTCCGGATCCTTGCCCCGCCCCCGCCCTCAGCCCGGGCGCTCATTGCCTCCGGATCCTTGCCCCGCCCCCAGCTCGGGCGCTCATTGCCTCCGGATCCTTGCCCCGCCCCTGCGCCAGGCCCCGCCCTCAGCTGGGCCCTCCCAACCCCACTCGGGCTTCCGGGCCCGCCCCGGAGCCCTTAGGGGTCGCCGGCGCCTTTGTTCCCTGCGGCGCCTGCGGGTTCGGTTGGAGGCTGCCGCAGCCCCGTTAGCACGGGCACCGCAGCCCCGACGCGTGAGGGCGCGCCCAGGAGCCGCAGCGTCAGGGCCCCGCGCCGCCGCCGCCGTCCTCCCACCCGGGCGCGCGTGCGGGCCGCGCACGGAGCGGAGGCGGGCCTGCGGGCAGACGCGGGCACCTGCGCGTGGACTACAGCGGAGGGAGACGCTCCGGAGTCCGAAGGGCCGGCTGGCGGGAGCTAAGTCCTGTTCCAGGCCGGAGCCCCGCGAGGGCGGGGGGCGGGGCGGGAGGGGGAAGCGGGGCGGGGGGGGGGGGGGGGGAGGGAAGCGGGGCGGGGGGCGGGGCGGGGGGGGGGAGGGAAGCGGGGCGGGGGGGAGGGGGGCGGGGGGACGGGGCGGGGGGGGGGGAGGGAAGCGGGGCGGGGGGAGGGGGGCGGGGCGGGGGACGGGGCGGGGGGGGAGGGAAGCGGGGCGGGGGACGTGGCGGGGCGGGGAGGGGGGAAGCGGGGCGGGGAGGGGGGAAGCGGGGCGGGGGGGAGCGGGGCGGGGGGGGAGGGAAGCGGGGGCGGGGGGGAGCGAGGCGGGGGGGGGGGAGGGACCGGGGCGGGCGGGGGACGGGGCGGGGGGGGGGGGGGGGAGGGAAGCGGGGCGGGGGCGGGGCGACCGCCTCGCCCACAGATCAGAAGGCCCGACAGCCCGTCAGGTGCTTTATTGGTGAAAGTTGGGAAGTGCACGCAGCTATTCACAGTAAAGAGCGAACACCAACGCCAGGGCCACGTACGTTTCCGTTTCGTGTTTCGCTTGTACCCAGCTGTCCCAGGCAACGTCCCAGATCCACCTGCTGGCAATCTGCGAGAACAAGGATTCAAAGGCGGCTTTAAATTCAACGCGCGAGCACATCTTACGCGTCACCTACGTGCCTTTGTAAAATAAGTACATCTCTCTCTCAGGAAGGCGCAAGTAGGAATTAACTGCTGGTCGCCTCGTTTGCTGGGGGCTGTTGGCAAGCACATTTTGTTTCCTCAGCAAGTCTGGGCCTTGTAACGGGGTCTACAGAACTACTCTAGTGTACTACAGATCTAAGGAATTGTTTAGCCAAAAGTTAATCAGGCCCTGGTCTTGTAGAGGTGGCATTAACTGTGCAAACAGGCAGTGCGACTCCCTTGCCTGCAGAGCCACGCAGGATCTAAATACAGCTCTGCTGGTCTGTGGTGGATCTGAAATGGTCACACATTCTTTATGGCGGCTTCTCAGCCCTGAACTTGAGTTGGCTTTATAGCTCGCTCAGACCCACAGAACATGAATGTGCAACTTTCAAGCGAAGCCGTCGAGGGTCTTGCAACATCGGTTGTCTTGCTTCCTGTGTTGAGGATACAGGTGGGAGCCACCAGTGCCCCGCTAGTATACTCTTTATTATGATAATATTCAATTTTAATAATCTTCAGTGTTGATTGAAGGCTCTCAGGAGCACCCATTTAAGGTTCTAATACATAAAATCTAGTCATCACAACATCTGTAGGAAGATTTTTACCGTCCTCACCTTGGTGATGAAAAACTCATGCCCCAGCCACAGCCCATGTGTCTCCTCACATCCTACCTGGGTTCCCACCAATGACCATCTCATTTCCTTCCCTTAAATCCTAATCCTGGCTCTTTTATTTCCCTGACTAAACACTTCTTGACACTTATGGTTCATGTCTTAAAATTCTTTGTAGTCTCTTCAGTACCGAGCATACATTTGTGCCCAATAAATTTACTAATTAATTAAATACAATATTAAAACTGACGATTAAGAAACAGGTTAACTATGAAATTTAATGCATTATTATTAAAGTGCAATTTCTAGGATAGTATTTTTCAGAATTAGAACATCTTTAGCAAAATAATCCTGGCACTGAGAGGCTCTTCTCATCTTCATGTGCTTTGGAGTCATCCTCATAACCTCAGATCACTATGGAGAACACACCATGCAGTTCTAACCAACAAGACACTGGGCAAGCAGGATACTTACATTTATTGCTTGACCAGTCTTCTGAATAAATAACACTTTTATAATGAACTTATAACGGTGAAATCCAAACTCTTTGACTGCTAACAACATTTGGTCTGCCAATTCAAGTGACAAATGTGAGAAGGCCTTATCATCATATCTGACATCTTTAAGAGTTTCCTTGAAAAAAATTAAGAAAGTATTTAGATTATCAAGTCAACTATTTTCAGTATAAAAGAAATATACATTCCTGGAAAACAGCACTAAATATGCGTATCACTTCATTTTAATAACAAATTTGAAAATATTGGTTTTTAAAAATATATTCAATTGCCTTGTTATCTACAGTTGGGCTGTAAGTTTGATTTTTAGATTACTCTGCCAAACAGTTACAGAGACACAAGGCAACTTTTTTAAGGCTTTTCTGGAAATATGTGGTAAAGAAAATGTTGTATTTCTACAGGCATTATTTGGACCCACCAGCCTTACATCATTGTGTCTACTTCAACCCCTTTAATTAAAGCCTTCTTTCTTACCCTCTATGGTCTCTTACTCCATTGAAGTGTGCAAAGAATATTCATTAATGTACAGCTTACAGAAATAGATGTGTCTCACAGGTCATAATGCATGAATCTTCCTACATGTGCATCATTTTATGTGTAAATATAAAATCATCACAAGGAAACTCCTTTGCACAACTATTAATTGCTAATAAACATGGGGGGGGGGAGCCACTGCTGTCTGGCCTGTGCAGAAGACAAATGGATCTTGGAGAATGTCTGTAAGCTTAACAAATAACAAGTGCAGCTGCTGGACCCTGTGATTTCCCAGCTGGAGAAAATCATCCTCTTCTGGGCCTGCCATGCAGCCACTGGCCGACAGCTGACACTTCCTCAGACAAGTCTGTAAAATCCACCAAAACCAGTTTGCTTTCAGCTGGCAAAGCACCAATATACTCTGTCCTGTCTTAGGAGTATGTCAGCCGTCAGCCCATCAGAATTCACAAAGATTTTGTCTTCTCCTCAGGAATGTGAGTTATCACACTGGTACACTACACTGAACACATCATGTGCCAAGATGGCTGCAGCAGGCCCAGATTTCTGCAAGCTGCTCTGGCTCTTTGGCAATAGGATCCTGAAGGTCTATCAGTGCTTGAAGTGTAAGTGGTGAGTAGAGATGCTATTTGGAGTCTTTGGAAAGCCTTTGGCGATCTGGAAAGAGCCTTTGCCATCATCTGCAGTTGTTTAACTGTTCTACTTTAGAGAAATAGCTTTGGGCTGCTGCTGGACCTTTGGAGACTGAATGCTTGCCCAGAGGCCACCAAATCACCATGCATCCTGCCCATCACCAACTGGGTATGACATGACACACTAGGAAAACCGCTGCTCTGCTAGTCTGAAGACTAGATTCAGAGGGAAGGCTGTTTTTACGGAGACATAAATGGTTTCACTGAAATGGAAGGTAACTGACTTGGCCCTGGGCCCTTCCTGCCTCTGACCAACAGGCCAGAAAGGGATTACTTCATCGTAACTACCTACTTACTAGTCAGGATGACTGAATGAACTAACACTTCTACAAAGGAGATGACAAGGAATGCATTGGTAAGACGGGATCTTTCAGTCTGTTATCAGTATTACCATGCCAACAATCGTGCCTGATTGTTGGAATACTACAGTAGTCCACTTCATATTGAACTATGAATAACCTAGATCCTTGAGGAATGAACACTGAGTCCCTTGTGAAGAGCCATGGGTAGCTGACATTCTTACTGAACACGTAGAGGAACAAGCAGTACAAGAAGGTAGCAGCAACAATAACTGTCACAAGAACGAGGACTGTAATTGCCAAGAGTAATTCCTTCTTTTTTTTTTTGGTCGGTCATGGGGTTTGAACTCTGGGCCTGGGTGCTGTCCCTCAGCTCTTCAGCTCAAGGCAAGCACTCTACCACTTGAGCTACTGCGCCACTTCCGGTTTTCTGGTGGTTTATTGGAGATAGGAGTTTCACGGACTTTCCTGCCAGGGCTGGCTTTGAACCGCGATCCTCAGATCTCAGCCTCCTCAGTAGCTAGGATTACAGGCGTGAGCCACCAGCACCCGGCGACGAGTAATTCCTTCTTATATGAATGTGTGTACACCTATATGTGAAGGTATTTTTTCTTCTCTATTATTAATTCCTTATCATGTAGTATGAAATACTTTTATCAGTACTACCACTAATTCTACACCCTACTGTTTATGTTACAGAATACCCATCACTCTAAAACGCCACCAGTTCTTTTGGGAAAGAGATTTGTACATTTCCAGTGGTTAGTATGTGTTGTCTTTATTTTGGCATAGTTTTGTGTGTGAGTGTATGTGTGCATATGCTAGTCCTGGGGCTTGAACTAAGGACCTAGGCACTGTCCCTGAGCTTTTATGCTTATACTTTACTACTTGAGCCACAGCTCCATTTCTGGCTTTTTGGTAGTTAATTGGAGATAAGAGTCTTATGGTCTTTCCTGCCTCTGCTGTCTTCAAACCCGTTGAGTAGCTAGGATTGCAGGTATGAGCCACCAGCACCCTGCTGACCTGTTTGTTTTTTGTCATTTGCAGGGCTTCAACTCAGCCTGGGCACTGTCGCTCAGCTCTTCAACACAAGGCTAGTGCTCTAGCACTTAAGCCACTGTGCCACTTCCGGTTTTCTGGTGATTAATTGTAGGTAATAGAGTCTCACAGACTTTCCTGCTCGGGCTGGCTTTGAACCAAGGTCCTAGATCTCAGCCTCCTGAGTAGCTAGGATTACAGGCGTGAGCCACTGGCACCGGCTTGACATGTTGTTGTAAGAGATTAGTGTGCATATCCATATGACAAGGAGTGGGCCTTTCCATAATTAATTGTATGTGTCATCTTCAGATATGCTGCAATACCTAGAAAAAGATTATGCATGGTTGTGTCTGTGACGGTGTTTACGGAAGAGTCTAGTAAACATATATATCAGTCGATAGTGACTAGGACATCAAGTGTGGGAAGTATACATTTTCTCTTTAAGCTGGGACACCTATCTTCTCCTGCACTTAGTGCTAGAGTTTCTTAGGTCTACAGTCTGGGACAAATACTCACCCTATCAGCTGTTCTCAGGACTTTCAATTCAGACTAAATTAACCATTAGCTTTTCTAGGTCTCCAGCTTGCACACTGATTGTCCGTACTGTAGGACCATTTGGGCTCTACAGTTATATGAGCTAATTCCTATGTTTTTGCCATATATGATATGCCTACTATACTAACATATATAACACTTATAGATATGTATATATATGGCATAGATGTATACACACATACCACACACAAATCACTCATCTGCACTGGCTCTAATCTGGCAGTGTCACCAACCCAGCCCCCAACCTACCGTTAGTATCTGTTGGATTTTAATTTCGACTGAATGAGCTTGGAATTTCTTCATTGGCTCCATTCTATATGAATTAGAAAACTTTAACTTTGCCAGGGCACTCTTCCATTCTTTACCTATGTCAGCAATGGAGTCATCAAATGGAGGCTCCACATACTGAACATCGTGAAAAGAGTCTCTCAGCCTTTCTCTCAAGATCTGTGCATACTGAAGGAGAAAGGTTACAAAATAAAACTGTCTTAAGAATCCTGATACAGTAGATGCAGAACTGACACAAAAGTTGTAAGTCTGTTATAACAGATTTCTATGAAATATAATCACCACAACCCCAGATTTATTCCTAAAGGTCAATTTGGTAAAACAAGAAAAAAAAGCGGTCTTTTGAGATACACACATACATAAATATAAAAACCAGCATGAGCTAGGTGCTGGTGGTTCACACCTAGGGTAGGCAGAGATCGGAGGATCAAGGTTTGAAGCCAGCCTGGGCAGGAAAGTCCACAAGACTCATCTCCAATTAACTACCCCAAAAAAAGTCTGAAGTAGAGTTGTGGCCCAGGCCCTGAGTTCAAGCCCTAGGACTGGCACACACAAACTGTGTGGACATACTTTAAATATCCACTCAACATCCAAAAGAACTAGAAAAAAGAACTGTCTCCAGAGTGGCAATGACGTGGCCAGGGGATAGAGATGTAAAAACAAACTTTCATGGCCCCTAACTTAAGGTTATGAAACATATCAAAAATATATCCTGTTATTGTTTTTCAAATCATTTATTTAACATTTAAACATTTATCTTTAAATCAGTACTAGAATTATCTCAGCAACAAATTCATAAGTGTAAAAGTTGAGAAGATAACAAAAACATATTCGTTATATACATCAGCCCGTGCTTTGAAAATGTAATGAGTGTTTGGTATCCAACATGCATAAAGGACTGCTGAGTTAGAGCCAGTATTTTCCAGATTAATTTAAAGTCTTGCTCTGGATAGCAGAGGACAAACTTTCAGTCTCTCACCATTAGGTATTGTTTGCTGTGCCACTTACATATATGGGTTTTATGTTGTGGTAGTTTCTATTCCTGGTTTACTGATCATTTTGATTATGGAATGATGAATTTTGTCAAGGACTTTTTCTTCATCAATAGAGGCGATTTTGTCTCTAGTGTGTTACATTGATTGATTTGAATCCCTGCATTCCAGGAACAGTATCACTTGGTCATGATATATTTCTTGGTGCCAGTATTGGGGCTTTAACTCAAGGCCTTTCCTTCATGCTTTTTCGATTAAGGAGGGTGCTTTACCACTTGAACCATGTCTCCACTTCTGGTTTTGCTAATTAAATGGAAGTATGCATCTCAAGATATTTTTCTGCCCTGGTTGGCTTTGAATCACAATCCTCAGATCTCAGCCTCCTAAGAATTTAAGATTACAGATGGGAAGCTGGGCACCTGTAGCTCATGCCTGTAATCCTACTCAGGAGGCTGAGATCTGAGGATCACGGTCCAAAGCCAGAAAACTGGAAGTGGCACTGTGGCTCAAGTGGTAGAGCGCTAGCCTTGAGCTGAAGAGCTGAGGGACAGCACCCAGGCCCAGAGTTTAAGCCCCATGACCTACAAAAAAAAAAAAAAAAGATTACAGATATGAGTGGCTGACCCCTGGCTTAGTCCTTTGAATATAATACTGAATGCTAGCATTAAGTTAAGAAATTTTGTGGTAATATTCATAAGGTATATTGGCCTACAGCTTTCAATGGTGTCAGTGTCTGGCCTTGGTATCAAGGTAATGCTAACCTGCCTGTCTCTATCTTCAGAAAAAAAGAATATACAGTTGGCAATTCTTCCTTCAATTTTTGGCAGATTTACTAGTGAACAATTTGTAGTGGATGCTCCCTTGGATTTAATTATGGGTGTCCCTCTTTATTCCTGATAACTCCCTTTGCTCTGATGCCAGCTTTATCTGAAATTTAACATGGTATGTCTTTCTTCATCCATGTACTTTGAAGCATTTTCATTTAAAAAGTAGATTAATCATAGAGAACAGAGTTGTCTTAATTTTCAACACATTTTAGTGGTATTCTGCATTAAACACAGGGTGAGGCATGTACCTAGCCAGGGAAACACTCTCTTGATTTATATATGTCTCTTGATGTTGTATACTCAAGATTAGGAACAAGTTTTAAATATCACCAGCTTTTTGGTATCTATTAATACAAGCTGATTTGAACTATTTAATCTAGTGATGTGGAAATTCCTGTTGCTGAGTCGGCTTATTGGCCTAGATTCAACTATGATTACCACTCATGTCATGCTTCTCTAGTGCTAATAATGTTTGAAATCTTCAAATCTATATGCACAAGTCAAATGTTCAATTTTTAGTAATCTATGTAGTTTTGTGATCTGTGGTTGCAAGCAACAGAGACTGTTTATTGCTAAGCAAAACTATTATTGGAATGACAGCTCTCAAACTCAAAGAAAAAACCAACACTCCATTCTCAGAAAAAGAGGGGGCACTTCAGCATGCCACACCCAACTTCAATAAAGTTCAACAATTTCAATGTATACTTCATCACATTGTCTAATTTAGATTTCAACTTCCTACAAAATTAACGGACAATCCCACCAAAAGTCTATTCAGTAAATGAGTCATTTTAAAAAATAAAATTAACTCGTCCCAGTTAGGTAATCGATGTAGGACATTAGAATCAAGAAGTCTGTACTAGTTACACGTCTTTGTTTTGGGATTCTTACTTTGGAATGTTTTGAAATGTTTTACCTATTATTTGTTTTCATCCTATTAGTGCTGGGTTCCATGGAGTAAGTGCGGCTACAGGTAGACCCTGCCTAGGACGGGGCCTGGCACAGGCTCCAGACTGAGCTCGGGGCACGGGGCACGCTGGGGTTACTCCCAGAGTTGGTGAAGGGCGCGGTGGGGGCTGCTCGGCGGCTTTCTCGGCGTGGTTCCACAGGGAAACGCCGGCGCTCCCCGGCGTCCGCGCAGCCGGCACAGGGCTCTCGAGCTTCTGGTCCAGCCCGGTGTCCAGGCGTCCACAGGCTGCCGCCAGCCGCGGGCGGTGAGTGCGACGCGCCACCGGTGCCACCGCCACCCCCACCCGCGCGTGGCGGCCGCGCGTGCGCCCGTGTCCGCGTGCGCCCGTGTCCGCGGGCGCGCGTGTCCGCGGGCGCCCGTGTCCGCGTGCGCCCGTGTCCGCGTGCGCCCGTGTCCGCGTGCGCCCGTGTCCGTGTCCGCGGGCGCCCGTGTCCGTGTCCGCGGGCGCCCGTGTCCGCGGGCGCGCGTGTCCGTGTCCGCCCGTGTCCGCGGGCGCCCGTGTCCGCGTGCGCCCGTGTCCGCGGGCGGGCGGGCGCGCGCGCGCGGGACACCGGGCGCGGTGGCGGCGCGCCACGGCCGCCCCCGGCGGAGAGGGCCGCGCCGTGGCCTCGGGGGTCGGCCGGCCGAGGAGGGAGCCCCCGGGCCCGCCGGGCGCCGGTCAACGCCGGCGCGCGCTCGCTGCGCGGCCCCGCGGCTCACTCACTGACTCCTTCTCGAACATGCTAGGCCTCCTGTCCTTTCTAGACGTCCCCGGAGACTGCTGGGCCGCCGGGCTCACGGCGGGCTTCGTCGCTCGCGGCCGCTTATCCATCTCGCACCGCCAGCCGCCAGCCGGGCCCCGCACGTCCGCTCCGCGTCGGCCGCCAAACGCCCGGGACGCCTCACGCCGCCCCGCGCCTGCGCCGCGCGGCCGGAAGTGGCGCCGCCCTCCGGGGCGCGGCGGGCGACGCGGCGGGCGGGGCGAGCGCGTGCGTCATCCGCGAGCGCGGGGCTGCGTCATCCGCGAGCGCGCCGGTCTGAGCCGGGAGCCCGGGAGCGGGGGCGGGGCTCGATTGGCCGCGCTCCCACGTCCTTCCGCCGTCTTGGAGCCGGAGCTTCCGGGGCGGCGGGCTCGGAGGCCCTGCGCGCCGCGTTCCCGGGCCTGACAGGGCTGGGAGACCGCGCGGCGCCGTGGCCGACCGGCGCTGGGCGAGCCTGGGCGGCCCCGAGGTCCGGGCGCCCCTCCGGGCGCTGGCGGGGCCGGCGGACGTCCTCCGCGCGGGGAGGCGGGTGTTGGGAGGGGCGGGCCCCGAGGCGGGGCCGCGGGCACCGGCAGGCGCGCGACCGCCCCTCAGCCCCGGCGTCGGGGTCACCGGAGTCACCGGGGAGAGGGGAGAGGAATGCACACGCCTGCGGAAGCGGAAGCCGGCCAGCCCGCCCTCCGCGGCCGTGCTCCCGCGCCTCCCCGCCACGTAGACCGGGCTGAGTCCTCCTTGGTTCGCTGGTGTCCCCAGATGCTGAGAGCGGAAGCCGTTACCACGTGCCTTTCTCCCGCCGTGCGCGACCTGGTCTGTGAAGTGGGGTCTGAAGTCGGAGGAAATTGCGATGTCGACACCATCGTCACGCCCAAGGGCGAGGTGCTCTGGGAAGCGGTGACGGGCTGCGTGAGCTGCGCGGAGCCAGGTCTGTACTGTTCAGCACCCCAGATTTCACTCAGCATGGCCACCTGAGAGGTCCTGAACTGTAACAGCCCTTTTCTAGCCATTGCTTTGTATGACAGGATGCGACAACACAGTATTATTTTCTATCTTTTCTTTTTCTGTCGGTCATGGGGCCTGAACTCTGGGTCTGGGCGCTGTCCCTCAGCTCTTCAGCTCAAGGCTAGCGCTCTACCACTTGAACCACAGTGCCACTTCCAGCTTTTTCTGCGTATGTGGTGCTGAGGAATCGAACCCAGGGCCTCGTGCATGCAAGGCAAGCGCTCTACCACTGAGCCACCTTCCCAGCCCAGGTTTTTATTATTGACTATGTGGATACCCCAAACTTAATTAAAACACAGAAAAAAATCCATATTATGCTAATGATTTTAGGGCGTAATAATTCATTGTCATCAGACATCTCACAATCTAAAATGTTAAAAACAGCCAAGGTGCAATATATTCAGTAATCTGTATACTTTGAGGAGTTATGTTCCGAGATTCCCCAGTATTGATAATACTGCAGCCTACACTGTGGTTCTCCTTATGCTCCCTGTGTGCTGCTGCACAGCCCCAGAGCTGATGTGTCTTACACTCCCTGTGTGCTGCTGACGAGACTTATAGTTTATGCCCGGGTAACTCCTGGGAATCACTGTCTTGCACTTTAGGGGCATCCCTAAGTAAAGTAAGTGTTACTTAGCCCCAGGCATTTTGATACTGTGACAGTTTAGTAAGTGAGATACAAGGGATGACAGACACGTCACCTTAGGTAAGACAGTATGGTAAATAAAGGAGATTTCGGGGTGACACATCACCTTAGATAAGACTGTGGTAAATAAAGGAGACTTTAGAACAGTACCCCATTTAAAACATGAATTGTTGCTGAGCACCAGGGGCTCACTCCTGTAATCCTAGCTACCTAGGAGACTGAGATCTGAGGATAGCAGTTCAAAGCCAGCCCTGGCAGGAAAGTCTGTGACACTATCTCCAATAAAGCACCAGAAAAGCAGAAGTGGCATTGTGGTTCAAAGTAATTGAGTGCTAGCCTTGAGCAAAACAGCACCCAGGTTTTGAGTTCAAGTCTCATGACTGACAAAAAAATGTGAATTTATTTCTGGAATTTTCCATTTAATATTACAATACTGCAGTTGACCATAGGTAACAAACTACAGATATGTGGATCTGATGTACATAGTTTGAGCCTGCATTCACGTAAACTTGTGTAAAGATAATGACATTGAATACAGTTTTTCTCCTGCTTGAACCTTTTTTTTTTTAATTTTTTTTTTGGTTAGTCATGAGGCTTGAACTCTGAGCCTGGGTGCTGTCCCTCAGCTCTTCAGCTCAAGGCTAGTGCTCTACCAGTTGAGTCACAGCGCCACTTTGGACTTTTTCTGCTTAGTGGTGCTGAGGAATCGAACCCAGGGCCTCATGCATGCAAGGCAAGCACTCTACCACTGAGCCACCTTCCCAGCCCTGAACCTTTCTATTTTACACTCTACTGACAGTATATCTTTTTTTTGTAAACCGGCAGGCATCATGTAAGTTACTTCTAATGATACATTACTACTTAATTATAAGCTAATTATTGGTTCTCTGGAAACTGTAATTCGATTTTATGATTCAGACATTGTTTTCTCCTATAATACAGAACTGTGGTAGTGAAACTTGCTTTCTCGTCCTGTAGGGCAAGATCTTGATTACCGGGGAAGTGTGCGGCGGCTGGGCCCTGTGTGTGAGGCTGTCCATCTACATTTCTTAACCCTGACCAAAGAGCAGTTTGAAATTCAATATGTACCATGGTTCCAGTGGACACATTTTCCAGAGGTTTGGCTTCTGAACAGTTGTAGAAGAACTTTGCAAATACTGTTAGGTGCCCTTGTTATTTGTCAGTTTTAAAGACACCATCCCTGGGCCATCCAACTGTGAAGAAGTGTTGAGGGTTTCAAGACAAATCTGAGTTATATAGGGCTCCAGAACCCCTGCTAAGAAACCCTTCCCTTTTGGTTCTCCTATCATAGAATTGAGAGTTGGTGAGGTTGTACTTGATACAGAGGTGCTCATCCTGGGCAAAAACAAAAAGACAAAAATCCACTCCATTGTGTAGGACTGAAGGACAGAGCTCCTGGAGGAACAGTGAAGTGTTCTTAAGAAACCACAGGGAGGGTACTTAATCTCTTAGTGATTTGTAGAAAGGGTGGTTAATTCTTGGTCCAGCCCAAAACTCTGTTTTGTCTTCTATTTTTCTCCATTTCATTTAATGCCTTAAATGACAATAATCCTGTATCAGTAACAAGTCTTTTCCTAAAATGGATTGAACTTCCTAATTTAGAGTGGAAGAATTGTTTTCTATTTGTACTACCTCTTTTAAGGGACTATGTGAACTGTTTTAGCTGTTTTGAGGGAATAAGATAAATAACAATGGGAAACAGTGTAGGTAAAAATACTTTTCAATTCACAGTTATTTTAGATTTGTTACGTTCAGTGGACATTTAAATAAAGAATCCTTAGATATTGTATTTTTGTAACTCTTTAGTTATTATAATATTCAAATAGAAAACATACTTATGCCAAAATATAGAAGTTGAAAGCGTGAGTTCTAATGCATCTTGTATATCTTAATCTAAACAGTTGTTTCCTGAAATATTTGATGCCTTGGGAAGCCTGCCCTCTCCCACTGTGTGTCTCGGTGTAATGAAGTTAGCCTCATGTCTCGAGCGAGCCTTGGGAGACGTGAGTGTGGCAGTTCTCACAGTTGCTCACTGGATTTGTGGGTGGGCTGGTGAATGTGGAACTCAGATCTCTATATTTTAATTACTGCTTTCTATAAAATACAGTGATTTGGTATATGTGTGTAATACTTGTTTTGAGTAGTTAGGAAATTATAAAATGTTTGTCTAAGTACAAATAGCTGCAGGGTTAGTGTTCGTTATCCTACAATTGTACAATTTTCATACAATTTTTGTTTGAATTTTAGGTATTTTTGCTGATTGGGAAGAAGTGTCCATTTCTCTTAAGAGATCTCTTGGCATCTGAGGAACTTGCTCAAGTCTTTGGGCATTCTGTGGTAAGCTTGTTCAGTGGAAATGTACAGGAAGTTACAACAGACAAGTGATGCTTCTCTAGGGAAGAATTATTTTAGAAATTCAAGCATCCCTCTTCCTTTACCTTAGAGTGTTACCCCTCTTTTCCCCATGTAATAGGCTTCTTAGGTAATGTAAGAGGACTATTTGAAGCATATTGCTTTCATTGGTGTTTATGTTGATAATATTAACTCAATATAGAATAGTTATTTTAACCCTTTACAGGGTGGGAAATGTTCACCTGAGGACCATGTAAGGCCCACAAAAATCTTTTGGTACATGACAGGACACACGTATGTTTTTGTATGACTCATCGGCTGCCCACAATCATCTGCCTATATTGGTAATTTTGAATGGTTCATAAATGATGTTATAAATATCCAAATGGCCCTCTGCCAAAACAATTGCTATCCCTGCTTTAGAAGAATGATAATGGAATTTTATTCTAAAATGTCAATGTTTTAAATGTGGAATTTTCTGTTCTTTGCACCTATCCATTCAAACTATAGTGAAAAAAACTAGATACTGCTGAGAAATCATACAGAACTACATACTTTTTCAGAACCTTCTAGAGGGCACATAACCAAGAGACTTCAAATTGAAGGGAACTTTCAGGGAGCAGTGGATTTGTCACGTGGAATTGAGTATTATCTTCAGAAAAATCCTCCTGTTCTTTCTGGAGAGCAGGGGATGAGTTCTTCAACACAGTTTGTTTCTTTAATCTGTGATTTGCTGTCTGAGATAACCATTTGCTTACCTTTTAGCTTCTATAGCAAGGTTCTACTTCAGTGAGGACTGATTTTTTTTTTGGCTCAAAGATTCTCTTTTGCTATATGGTTTTTGTATTGTTTTAGTCTCTGAGCAACTTCGTTTTTCCTGTATCATTCTTTTGTGTGTGTGTTTGCTGGTCCTGAGGCTTGAACTCTGGGCCTGGACTCTGTCCCATAGGTTTTGTGATCAAGCCTAGTGCTCTACCACTTGAGCCACTGCTCCACTTGCAGCTTTTTGTTTTTAATTGGAGATAGAGTCTCATGGACAGTCCTGGCCTGGCTGACTTAGAGCTGGGATCCTCAGATCTTAGCCTCTTACATACATAGGATTACAGGCATGAGCCACTGGTGTCTGACTTGTATCATTCTTTTAGTCTGAGCATCTAACACATTCCTGCATCTTTCTAGTGCAGGAGTGGTGCTCTCGCCTGGAGTGGCTATTGGATGTTTTAGGTGGATAGGCAAAGAGCTGCACCCCCAGGAGGAGAAGACTTGCCCTGTTGGTTTGGCTGTGGCTATATCATCCTCTTCCTTTTACCACACAAGCACCTGCTGTCTGGTTCTGATTTTCTGTCAGCACTTTTTTGCCCGGATACTGATTGCCCGTGATAGATGTTTTCAAGCTGGATTGGCTCATCCTAGGATGGAAGCCTTGCCTGTTCTCCTTCCCTGCCTGTGCTCCTGTCACTGCACGTGGGAGAGAAGACCCTTGCTTTTTTCAAAGTTGTTCTGAGGATGGATGAGCTGATGAGTCATACAAAATGTGTGTGGCATCTGATATTATTATTATAACTATATAGACCCTTAGTCTCTCTTAGTTTAAGGAAGGAAGAAAATATTCTTAGTCTTGTACTAGTTTGCCCAGCAGTTCCGTAATGGTAACTGTTCAATGATGTGCTGTCTTGATGGGTTAGATGGATGTACTGAAAGTCTTCATTGGTTCTCCCCATGGACTCAACCTGAGAAATATCTTATGGCATGGGTTTGCCTCACCTCAAGAAATCCCTCCCAAGTAAGTTGCAGGTGAAGAAATTTTCTCTTTTGATATATTTAGCGTTTACTTTTTCTTGAATTTCACAACAGGGAAAGGTGAATTTGTTAAAGACATGTGTGTGTGAGAGATGGGGAAGTCAAGTTCCACATCACATCAGAGAACAAGAGTGTATGGAGTATGGTTTCAAGACCTTGTACTCAAGGCACTCGAGGCCTCCAGAAAGTCATGATAAAAAATGTCCAGGTCCTGGATCAGTAGAAGACTCAGGACTATTATTTTCCTAGGCTGCACGGATCAACTTCTACATCTTGAGCTGGGCTACCTCAGGAGGCTGAGATCTGAGAATTGTAGTTCAAAGCCAGCCCTGGCAGAAAAGTCCATGAGACTCGTATCTTCAGTTAGCCAGCAAAAAAGCCAGAAGTACAGTGGTAGTTCAAGTTAGTAGAGCTCTAGCCTTGAGCAAAAAGCTCAAGGACAACACCCAGGCTCCAAGTTCAAGCCCTAGGGCTGGCATACACACAAAAAAAGCTTTCTCTTAGGGGCATTCTCTGAAGTATGATGCTACTTTACTTTCTTAATTTAAAACATTAAACATTAAAGTAAGTTTTTAAGATGTAGGGGCTGAGTTCCTCCTTCTAAAGGTGTTTGTGGCAATCTCTTCTAGATACTGTTCAATGCTACTCCTGCTGATGGCAGGACTGGGTCAGCTACTGAAAGATTTCCTTCAACAGACTGAAGTCACATTAACACATCGACCCTTTGTAACCCTTACAAATTTAGAGGATTTGATTGTTTTTCCCGGCAAGTATATTCCCTTACCCCATCCCTTGATGTGTTTTCATGAAGGTGTTGGAAAATAATGTCAATATCTGAATTCTTGAGGTATAATAAAGAACTTACTCTCCAGTGGCAAGATTGGCTCTATTAGCTTCTGAAGATCTCTTTACAAGTTTTTTGGAGCACTACCCCTTCCCAGTGCTCATTCAGTGACTGAGAGTTCAGCTGTGTGATTCAAGATTGTGACAGAACTGGTCTGTTCCTCAGATGTGTTGATATGTACAGTGCCGTGGGGACATTTATCCCCCGTGTGCTGTCTTCTCCCTTCTTGTACATTTGTACTCACTTAAAGATGCCAATAGTGTGAAGGGCCTATATCTTCTGAAAATGTATTTTATTGCTCTTGGTCAAGATGTTTAGCTGGTCAAACAAGAACCTTACTTTTACTTGTTACCTAAGTCATTTCCCCCAATTTTCAAGGTCCCTGAGGCCACTACAGTTACTGTGGGTCAAGTAGTCTTTCAAAGAACATCACCAAAAATCAACATCAGAGATGCACTGTCCTAGCCCATCTGCCTGACCGTGTTTGATTTTTATTTTTCTATTTCTCAGTTGATTAGTCTGATTGTATTTAAAGATATTTGCTATTTTTGCAGGTGTTACTTGTGAGATACTTTCAGTATTAGAAGAAGTGATGACAAAATCTACCTTTATATTAAAAATCATGTTACCATATTGGGAAGTGGCACTGGCCAAGTTCAGATCACACAGGTAAGGTTAGCATGCCAGAGTTGTTCTTGGTGATTGGAGGCAATACCTCTCAACAGCCTTCACTGTTGGGGTACAAGAGACTATAGAGGTAGAGTTGCGCTCATATGAAATACCTTCATATAATTATTTAGGATATAGTTTGAAGATGTGTTTTAAACATTAGTGTCATCCCCTTGTTAGAGTTGACGTAACTTTTTTTTGCCAGTGGGGTCTGAATTCAGGGCCTGGACATTGTCTCTTAGCTTTTTTTGCTCAAGGCTAGCACTCGACCACTGGAGCCATGTTCCACTTCCAGCTTTTGGGTGGTTAATTGGAGTTACAACTCTTGGATTTTTCTGCCCAGCTGGCTTTAACAGATCTTAGCCTCCTGGGTAGCTAGAACTATAGGCATGAGCCATCAGTGCCCAGCCATAGTTTTTGTCTTAATCAGTTCTAATATTCTTTTTGAGTTCTTACTGTAACAGAACCATTGAGTTCAATATTAAGAGAATAATGGAGCAAAGCAATGTAATTGTGGGCATTGCATTCCCTTAGAAATCAACCCCATTCTGAAGCAAAGCCTCTGTGTGTCAGGTGGAGAACATGAGTACCAACTTGCCTTTCTTCCTCAAGTGGAGACCATGAGTACCAACTTGCCTTTCTTCCTCAGGTGGCTTCATTCTGATACATTCATTTTATTATCCGAGCTTACTTTTGAGTCAGTTCTTATCTACTGATGGTACAACTATGTCTTGTGTGCTGTAGGACTTCCAGGTCAATGGCCTTTCTGCAAAACAGGTGTACTGGGGCTTTGTGAGGCATAGATCATATTCAGTGAATGAGAGAATGAGCCAGAAGATCCCGACAGGGAGCTCTAGGAAAGTTCCAGTGCTGTGCAACCTATGAGGCATCATCTCTTAGCTGCTGATGATACTCGAGGTGGTATGGAACGAAACAGAAGTTGAGCTCATTGTCTACTCTTCTGGGCAAGACAACTGGCTCCCATACAGGAGCCCCAAATTAGATTTCATGACTTCTTTTAAGCTCCCACTGCAAGATAAATAAAGCATGAGAAAGAAAAGGGCTAGGAGGTATGCCAGTGGAAGGAAAATTAAATAGAAATGGAATGGAAAATAATAAGGTTTAAATGCCACCTCTGGATGACCAAGGGTATTATAGGTTAAAAAAGCAAAGAGGGAATCAACTCAAACCACTGGTTTAGGGCTTGTGAAGGTGGCTCAGTGGTATAGTGCTTGCCTTGCATGCATGAGGCCCTGGGTTCAATTCCTCAGTACCACATAAGCAGAAAAAGCTGGAAGTGGCTCAAATGGTATAGAGTGCTAGCCTTGAGCTGAAGAGCTGAGGGACAGTGCCCAGGCCCAGGGTTCAGGCCCCACGACTGGCAAGAAAAAGACAACAACAAAAAAGCCCCACTGGTTTAAAAAGATCAGAAAAAAGACCAACAGGAAAATGAGTACCTGAGTAGAAATAGGTATTTCAGGAAGCCAAAAACATCTTACAAAATGCTTGTGAGCCCATTGTATAAGGAGGTAAGTGGTTTTTGGAATGTAAGTTCTAGCAATGGCTTTGTCTTTGTGGTTCTGGGTGTGTGTGTGTGTGTGTGTGTGTGTGTTTTGGTAGCACAGGCAACTTTGAAGAAATGTTTTCAAAAACCCAAATTATGTGGGAAACAGGGCTAAGGTCTCAAATCTCCATTGCCTTTGTGACAAGAATGTTAAAGAAATTAAAAAGTATCAAATGAGCCCAATGGGCCTGTGCCATGCAGGCTTTATACCACAGTGACCTCTGCAGGCAGCCTGGAAAGCAAGGAATCGAGTACTAAGTGCCTTATTAAATACAAGAACAATGCATTCATTTTTTGCCAACAACCCAGTGAAATCTCAGTGCTTAAGTAGCTTACAGAAGTGATTGGTTTTTGATGATGGTCTTTGTTTTGTTCTATTGAAGCTAATAAAAGTGGTTTTAAAACCATTAGAGTAATAAACATTGAATTACTTATTTCTCATACTAGCAAGTACAGTGATTCCCTCACCTCTCATGGGAACTACATGCCAGAGTTCCCCGCAATAGGTGAAAAATCTGAGAAGTAGCAACAGGTGAACCATGATATAGTAAGGGAGGCTGTATAACACTGTCACTTTGTGGGTGCACCTACTGTGGGGGTCTCTGGAACATAACTCCCATGATGAGTGACGGGTCACTACATACTAAAAAACAGACAACCCTGATACAGTGAAGCCACAATCAGTGAACAGCAGTGTAGCTCAGGATGACTATAGTAGCACTTTTTTACTTTTAATACCACCCTGGTCATGTCTGGACCAGAGTCACCATGATTTATGCTAATTGTATTGTAGATGTATGCTTTAAGCTGATTGCCTTCAATGTTGCAGGTTTGCCGATTGCGCCATACTGTTGTTAACACAGCTAGAAATGGGACTTAGGAGAGTTTTTGCTGCAGTTAACCAGTGTCCAGACAGACTCCTGACTGCAGAGGTATGGAAAGTGACAGCATCTCACTTAATTTGCTGTTGGCTAAGAGCTTTCTTTGCAAAACCTCTGTGGGTTTTGTGACTTTGTATTACAGATTTTGTTACACTTTTATTAGGAATTTTGTCCTTTAAAACCTTTAGTGGGGTGCTGGGAAGGTGGCTCAATGGTAGAGCGCTTACATTGCATGCCTGAGGCCCTGGGTTCGATTCCTCAGCACCACATAAGCAAAAAGAAAAAAGCCGGAAGTGGCGCTGTGGCTCAAGTGGTAGAGCGCTAGCCTTGAGCTGAAGAGCTGAGAGACAGTGCCCAGGCCCAGAGTTGAGGCCCACGACCGGACCAAAAAAAAAAAAACCCTTAGTGGTATCATGAAGTAGTAAGCACTTTTCTCTGCAGCTGTATTTAATAGCACATTATGAGGTGGTCATGGTCTCCATGGTGACCAGAAGTGTCACCATGGACGCGTGTGCTCATGACTGTCACCTGTCACACCAAGGCATGTTTGAGGGCGACTCACCTTGGGTAGTAATTACAGTCCTCTAGGTTTTAGTTTCTTCATCTTAAAAGTGGGACAGTAATCTTTTAGGGGAGTTTTAGAACTTACATATGGCTGTATAAAATAACAAATTCAGTGCTTGCCATAGCTTCTCTACTGCTACTTTCAAATGAGTGCTTACACACATTTCATTCATGTTGATGCAAATACACTGCACACACACATCCCTAAACATGCACCACCCAGCAGCACACATGCACACATCTTCACAAACACGTGTGCATGAACACAGGTCCTTATGTCCACATATGCACAAATCTTTACAAACACATGCATATATAAACACTTCTATTCATGTGTGCACACATCACAGACACACCCTTCCACTATATACACAGGTATGCATGTGCATATCTTCACAAACACATGCAATGTACCCACTGAAAACATTGATATGTGTGTCCACATTGTTGCTTCAGAGTTTTCACATGAGATTTGCTCTCTTTGAGCCAGGGATGTAGGCTGGTTTCAATCTTCCCTCCTCTGACTCCAAGTATCTCTGTCTCTTAATAGTTATAGTTAGATTTCTGCTGCTAGTAATAAACATCCCAAAGCAACATTACTGTACATAGGATGGAAGTGCCTCTGAGACTCTCATAAATGGAAGCAACCAGACTAGAGGACAGCTCACCATTCCCCCACTCATGGAGGCTGTGAGGCCACATCCTCCTGATGAGCTTGCTGCATCTCCCATCACGTCTGCCTACCGCCAGAAGAAAAGGAAGAGGCATGCGTCACTCCCTTGAGAACACTTCCTAGAGGTAGCACACACTGGTCCGACCTGGCTATAGACAGGCTACAGGCCGTGTGGCTCTGTGTGCCTATTGGCTTGCTGGGTGATCTGTTGGTTCTTACTTTTCACTCTAGTTCAGCTTTTTTACATAGCATATCACAGCCTACTCACTCCAGATTTTCACTATGAGTGATCTCACACAATTCCATGCCGTAAGTTTTCACCTCTGAGGGAACAACAGTTCAAAATTTTTTAAACTTAAAAATGAAAACAACATACCAGGTTTTTTGTATGCAGCTAACAAGTGCCACGGGTATTTTAGTGTTAAATGCCAGTCCCTCAAAGCAGTGTCTTGCACTTTTTTTTTTTTTGCCAGTGCTGGGGCTTAAACTCAGGGCTTAGGTGCTATCCCTGAGCTGCTTTTGCTCAAGACTAGCACTCTACCTACCACTTGAGCCACAGTGCCACTTTTGACTTTCTCTGTTTATGTAGTACTGAGGAATTGAACCCAGGGCTTCATGCATGCAAAGCAAGCACTCTACCACTGAGCCACATTCCCAGCCCCTTGCACATTTCTTTAGTCTTTGTAATTAGCAATATACCTATTTGGTAAACAAACTGGTATACGTATTTTCCCCAGCACCTCAAGTTTAACTTATTCAAAAAGTTTGTTCTTGGACAGTCCTACTGTTGCTGACCATGTTTTCTTAGTCTCCCTGGCACCAAACTGAGACCACATAAACAGAAAAAGCCAGAAGTGACATGGTTGCTCAATCGGTAGAGTGCTAACCCTGAGCAGCAGAAGCTCTGAGTTCAAGCCCCAGGATTGGCTAAAAAAGAAATGCTTCTTTTGTTAAATTTTATAAGGTCCTGTAGAATTCTCCCAGGAGCCAGCCTTTTTTGGGGGAGAGGGGGGGTGTCCGGTCGTGGGGCCTGTACTCTGGGCCTGGGCGCTGTCCCTCAGCTCTTCAGCTAAAGGCTAGTGCTCTAACACTTGAGCCACAGTGCCACTTCTGGCTTTTTTCTTTTTGCTTATATGGTGCTGAGGAATCGAACCCAGGGCCTCATGCATGCAAGGCAAATGCTCTACCACTGAGCCACCTTCCCAGCCCCATCAGCCCCATCCCCATCCCAGAAGCCTTTTGAGACAGATGTTGATCACACCCTATTTGCAGAGAAAATTCAAATTTCTGGAGCTAAAGAAATTGCCCAGGGTCTTATTTCTTGGGAGTAAACCTTGAATGCTTTTCTGGTCACATGAAGATGAAGGAAAATAAAGACTATTTCTGGAGAAAATACTACATGGTACTCTTATGTACAAGTATCAGACATTAGAGTTTAGTGACTTGTAGAGATATAGGACCCTAAATGTTACGAATACTTAAGATAAAATACTTGTAAAGACCACATCCTGTCATCAGATTCAGTAAGTTTTCCTATCTTTTATACTGTTTAAACTTTGTCCCAAAATGTTTCTAGATGAAGCTTAACAAGATTTTCACAAAAAGATTGTGGCTGTGTGACAATGACCAGAACATTTTCCTATGTTGAATAATGTGATACTATTTTTTAATAAGTTATTTTCATTCCTTCTATTTTCTGCAGTCAAGAACTCTGTATACCACCTTTGATGAAGTAAGTAGTTAAATTTTTTAGGCAACTTGAAACATTGTTTTCTTTTAAAATGCAAAGCTAAACATTGGCCATAAATCATATACCTAGAGGAATATGTTGGTAGTAACATAGGGAGAAAAACTAATAGTAGATTTAAATACAGCCTTCAGGCTAATTTTAAGAACCATAGTACTAATAATACTAATCTAGTTTCTAAAATTGCACAAAACTAAGCTGGAAAATGCAAAAACATGCTAACATTATGGACTAGACTTACGTAAAGGCTTACATTTTAAGGGTTAGATATGTTTCTCTGTGTGTGTGAGTGTGTGTGAATATAATAGCTTATTTGTTTTTGATGTTTTAGATATTGGCAAAGCATTTGAGGGATGGTAGAGTGAACCAACTTCCTCTTTTCCTTGGAGAACCTGCTATGGTACAGTATTAGGTTTTTTTCCTGTCTTGTATTCTTGTGTTTATGAACCTGTATGCGCCAATCCAGTAACAAAGAATATGACTGGTTGTCTACTCAAGAGCAGAGCTGAACCATACTTATCTTCTCCTCTTACCCTCCATCAGATACTGGCTTAGCCATGGCTCCAGGGTGGACACTGCTTTGTATTACTGCAGTGTTTTTTGAAACCTAATGGTTTAGTGTTCCTAAGCATTTGTTGGTTCTATGTATGTGTGCAATCTACAGGACTGTGTTTGTCTTGTGAAGTATAGCAACAGTCAAATGAATACGACTGAGTTGGATGAAAAAACAATTATTATTCTCAGGTTTTTAAAAATATTTTGTGAAGATACTATAACAACTTTTTTTTTTTTTTTTTTTTTGTCAATTGTGGGGCCTGAACTCTGGGCCTGGGCGCTGTCCCTCAGCTCTTCAGCTCAAGGCTAGTGCTCTACCACTTGAGCCACAGTGCCACTTCAGCTTTTTCTGCTAATCGAACCCAGGGCTTCATGCATGCAAGGCAAGCACTCCACCTTCCCAGCCTATAACAACTGTTTGGGACCATAAAAATTTCCTTCTGACTGAGAGTTGGCAGACCTAGATTTTAGTTCCTGTTTGGTATTAGTCAGATTTCTATGAACTTTAGTCATCTCTTCATTCTGTTAGTTTAGGAGATGGACTAAGTAAGCTTATCCATGACTTTTTTTGTCTTGAATCCCTGGGACTGTCCATCCATTGACCATCTTCCCAGGTCAGCTTTTTCCTGACTTCTTTTCTGTAGCTTAAGGGAGAGGCCTTGGCCACGTGTAATTAAAGGGAAGAAGGAACTGTCTTGATCAGCTTAATGATGAAATGAGCACAGTAGAGAAGAGAGAAACAGGGGCTGTGCTCATAAACAGAAGAACAACTTCTTGTATTGCCCTGGAAGAGGGTGAGCATAAGCAAGACGGGAGTCTCACTAGCTTCCAGAACCTTCCAGATGTTTCTGTCCTTAATGATTGGCCCTCAGCGCCTTGCCAGCTCTTAGGTTTTTCCTGCCTAGCATATACAAGGCTCCCCTCTAGAATTCTGGCTGCGTAGTAGTGATGACACCGTCTGTGCAATTCACACTGCCCAGGGCCCTTAGCCCTCCATTGTTCCCTCTGCCTAGAACATTAGCAAAACATTTTCTGTTTACTTCTGAAAGGAATTTCTCTGGGATTTCCTGAACCATCAGGAGGGCCCCCGTTTACGAGATCGTTTAAGCCATGGAGAGATAAACATACGTGAATTTCCAGAAGCAGCAGCAAGTCAGCTCCTTGCATTTTCTCTTGTGCTTTCCCTCAGATTCACTGATGAAGATGTGCTGTCAATGGTTAAGGTAATGTAGACAGAGCAAGATGGCTAGATAAACTCGCTGTCATTCAGCAATGAAAGAGTATAGTTTAATTTCCCAGTGTAATTGAGACTATTAATCTTTTGTTTTAATGAGTTATACTACTAATAATTATTGATTACATGTATATTTATATTTTCTATAATTAGTACTATTTGAGGTAATTTAAGTATTGGGCAGACTTTTGCCTTTGTTTTTAATAGCAATATACTATTGAAAAAAATCAAAGAACAAATTAGAAAACAGTTAACCAAATATTAGCAAGTTTTTATAGCTGATGAGTGGCATATTTATATCTACCAACAAACTAATTTTTTTGCTTTAAAATAAGTAATTTTGGCTAGAATGTCTGTTCTTATTTTCAGATTGTATGTTTAGAAGTCATTTAAAAAATTGTTTAGAAGTTCAAGCCATGAGGAATAACTCCCAGCAATGATTATTGTTAAGCATTAAGTGTGGGGTTTTTTTTTTGGTCGGTCATGGAGCTTAAACTCTGGGCCTGGGCACTGTCCCTGAGCTCTTTAGCTCAAGGCGAGTGCTCTAACACTTGAGCCACAGGGCCACTTCCAGTTTTCTAGTGGTTAATTGGAGATAAGAGTCTCATGGGGACTTAACTGCATGGGCTGGCTTTGAACTACAATCCTCAGATCTCAGCCTCCTAAGTAGCTAGGATTACAAGCATGAGCCACCTGTGCCTGGCTTAGCATTAAGTGTGTTTGCCTCACATTTTTCCATGTGCGTACCAACGTGGTGCTTAGGAAGATGACATTATGTCTGGTAGCTAGTGTTTCTCATTAGGTGTGTTTGTGGCTTCAGTTTGCTTACCCCTTTTGTCAGCTTCCATTCTGTCAGAGCATCAGTTACCTATGCTGGCTCAGATAATAACTATGTGCTACAGAAAATTCCTAATTGCAATGTAAAGTGAACCCATCTGCTCATTTGGGCACCTGTAGTCCATTGAAAAGTAAAGTTTCAAGGCTAAAGATAGCAGTAAGACCTTTCTTCTTAAAAGGTTTGTGATGTTCCTTTTTTATTTTTTAATTTGTGATGTTTTGATATTTTCTTGCATTTACCACTGCACGGTTGTAATTATTTTCTAGACTTCCTGTTAACATAGTGTGCTCCATTTTGTTGGATTTGTTTTCTCCCTTGACTTATTAATCTTACTTGTAGCTTCAGTGTACATATTGCTTCCTTTTTTTAAAAATTTTTTTTATTTTGTCAGTTGCAGGCCTTGAACTCTGGGCCTGGGCACTGTCCCTGAGCTCTTTAAAGAGCTCAAGGCGAGCTCTCTCATTTGAGCCACAGTGCCACTTCCTGTTTTCTGGTGGTTAATTGGAGTCTCATGGACTTTCCTGCCCGGACTGGCTTTGAACCTCGATCCTCAGATCTCAGCCTCTTGAGTAGCTAGGATGACAGGCGTGAGTCACCAGCACCCAGCATTTTGCTTCCTTTTTAAGCTTTCAATCTTTTGCTGTCTTTGGCTTCTGCATTTAGAGTCATTCTTCTAAGCCTCTTTGCTTTCCATAATCATAAATGTGCTTACAATTTTCCTATTGCCTTTACTGCTTCCTTTTTGTTTTCCATTTACGTGTGTGTGTGTGTGTGTGTGTGTGTGTGAGAGAGAGAGAGAGAGAGATTATTGGGGCTACCATTTGACCCACAGCTCCACTTCTGGCTTTTTGGTGGCTAGAGATAAGAGTCTTACAGACTTTCCTGCCTGGGCTAGGTTTGAACCTGATCCTCAGATCTCAACCTCCTGAGTAGCTAGGACAGTTGGGAGCCATCAGCACCAGTTTCATTTACATATTTTGATCCAAGTGGAATTTAATCCATCTTAGGAGTAAGGTAGAGAGTCTAGTTTTACTTTGTTTTCTTTTACAAATAGCTATCAAGAGTGTATACTATGCAAAGACTAAACATCTGTGTTCCATGTGTACCAGGCCCTAGCCCTGGGCTGTCTTTGCTAGTAGCTTTAGTCTTTACTAAAGCTCCATGATAACTTAACATCCCCTGAATTATCTTCCTATGACTGTTCTCAGAATTTTCTTGCCTATTCTGTCATTATTCCATGTAAACTTGCATAGTTAAACACAAAACCCAAAAAACAAATAGTAAAGAGCATGTCACACAAAACCCAAAAACACAAATAGTAAAGAGCATGTCTAGTGGAATAGCTTAGGGAGCCTAACATGTTTTGGCATAGGGAAATCCATTTGGTTATGTGGCATCTCTGGCTGACTCCTGCTGGGTGCTTAGCCCTAGCCCACCATCTAAAAGCACGTCTTAACAGTGGCTGCTCAGGCCCAAGCCCCCAGCCTCTCTTCCCTGCTTTCATATTCCCTCTGAGTCCTCTGCCTTAATCCTAAGTCCCAAGTGTGTCCCTTCCATGACATAACCTGCCCAAACCACTCTCACCCTCCTCACAACAGTATTTTAACACTGTGGCAGGTCTCCTTTTTCTGTGGCCTCTTTGCTTTCTTAGCACAGTAGCCAGATCCCTTTTCAAGTGTTTTGCCTCTTGACCCAGAGGTTCTACTGTGGTTTCACATCCTAGAACCAGAGCCAGGTAGGTGTTCCACCTTGACCTACAAGCCCATGCTGTCCCCCAGAGCCTCGGGGGAGCTCACTAACCCACGCCCAGAACTCTGCCTATCCAGGCCCTGTGAGGGTGCTACATGCAGTACAGCTGTGACTTAGGGCTCAGGAATGTAGCATATGAAAGGTAACGCCTCTCCTTAGACCTTAACTTTTGTAACCATGTGAATTGTTTGTTCTATATTGCTGGGAACTCTAGATGGCTATTGCTTATTACGTTGGTAATTATAAATAATAACCTTTCAAAGTTTTTCAGTATTTATGTGTTTACCCATTTAGTATTTGTAACCGTGATATTCTTTTAGTTGAAATGATTTTTCTTAACATTTAAGTTTTTTTGTAATTGTTTATTTATGTATTTGAGTTTTGTCACATTGTTAATAGCTACAGTTGTTAGCCAGTTCTGTTTAAAATAATTTGGGGGTCTGGGAATGTGGCTTCGTGGTAGAGTGCTTACCTAGCATGCATGAACTCCTGGGTTCGATTGCTCAGTACCACATAAACAGAAAAGGCTGGAAGTGGTACTGTGGCTCAAGTGGAAGAGTGGTACCCTTGAGCGAAAGAAGCTTAGGGACAGTGCCCAGGCCCTGAGTTCAAGCCCCAGGACTGGCCAAAGAAAAATTTTTTTTTAAATCATTTGAGCTATGATTTAACTACCTGGTCCAACTTACTGAAGAATTTTACTTTAAGTTGCACAGAATTATTTGAAGGAAAACAATGAGAAAGTTGGACTGTAATAACCTCTGATTCAATTTAAAACAAACCTTAAAAGCCTTAATAAAAACTGTGGTAACTAATTTTTTTCTAAACCAGGAGGAAGCAGTGGTAAGATCATTGATGCAACTCGCAGAGGGCTATAGTTCCCGCTGCCATCCCATTTTTCAGCTTAAAAAGCAGGTAAGCCATGTGCAGGGCTTTGGGAAGAGGGTTCATGTGTGGAATTGCTCCTCTGCAGAGTTTTCAGAAGATCCAAGAGACTCGTGCAGCAGGCTGTGACCTCATACATCACTTACATGACAGTGGGCAAGGTGCACAGTCTTCCTGAGTTACTTTGGCTCAGGCTCTGAATCTAACAATTGAAAGTGATGGTAAGATTGGTGTCATTGGATGTTTTTATTAGTAAGGTGTGAATGTTGGAAGCTGCTGCTGTTTGTTGGTTGTGGGGCCTGAACTTTCGGCCTGGGCGCTGTCCCTCAGCTCTTCAGCTCAAGACTAGCACTCTACCACTTGAACCATAGCACCACTTTTGGCTTTTTCTGCTTAGGTGATACTGAGGAATTGAACTCAGGGCCTCATGTATGCAAGGCAAGCGCTCTACCACTGAGCCACCTTCCCAGCTACTGCTGTCTTATCAACCCAGGTCAGAGTACAGGCAAGGAGTGTCATTTTTGTCTTCTACCGCACTGGGACCAGCTTTTGTTAACAATTTCAAGCTTTTAAGCAATGCTGCGATGAAATTCCAATTTGACAATAGGCTGAGGGGGCTTTATTTTACATATGGCAGGATGTGAGGAGTTTCCAGGGGTCCAGGAATGCCCCCAAGCCAGTCTGACTCAGAATGGCCACTCAAGTAGACAGTGGTTGTGATAATGCTCGGTGTCTGTGGTGTGGGCAGAGTTTTGCAGAGCTGTGTAGAGAGTCTGTGCCTTGAAAACAGGCTTGACTGACAATGTCCGTGGGAAGACGCTTGTGAGGGGAAGCAGAGAGAAATGGCATCCTCCTGCTTCATCCTCCTGAGTTCTGATTGGGGACAGTGAACCCAGCTATGTCGTTGTTCTGATACTGTTCACCATTCCCATCACACCAGTCTGGTCCCTGTGAGAACTTTGCATTTTCCAAGCCATGATTATGACGGTAGATGTACCAGCACTTGTCTGTAGGGACAGTGTTTAGAAGGGAAGGTTCTGGAAGGAAGAGAAACTTGTGAAAAGAAGGCTTTGCCTTGTGACCACAGCCTCTGACTCTCCCTACATACTTGCTGTCCTCTTCCCTGGGAGCCCCTCTGTCCTCCCCAGTTATTTCAGATTGTCGCCACCTCCTGTCCTTCATCTTTTTGTGACAGGTCCGCATCTCAGATACCACCAGCTGTGGTGGTATCCACAGCTGCCCTTTGATTTGCTTATATTGTTGTGGGTCAGAAATCTGAGTGGCTTCAGCTGGGCATTGACTGGGTGTGTCCCCCAGAGCACTGCTTGTGGAGTATCCTATCTAGAAGGCTGAAAACTGACCAGAGACCTCACACGTCCCCTGAGCAGCAGTCCCAGGTGACAGCCAGCCTCACACAAGAGTGCATGGTCCTGAATCAGGGGCACCGTGCGGCACCCTTCATCCGCTGTCCTCCTAGCAAGGACCACTACCAACGTTAGCAGGGTCAAAGGACGTAAGTTCACACCAGCCAGATGTTCAGCAGCTGCAAGTCCTCCAGAAGGTCAACCAGCTGTCCCTCATCTGCGTCACCCCCCTTTTAAAATAATAGGGAGTTAGAAAGTGATTTAACTTCCGTAATAGTTGAAAACATACTTTCCGGGTAATTTGTGAAATCTTTTTAAAGGCCATTTGCCGACACTGGTGGCTCACTTCTATAATCCTAGCTGCTCAGAAGGCCAAGATTGGAGGATCATGATTGGAAGCCAGCCATGGCAAGACAGTCCATGGATTTCTACCTCAAAGTTTTATCTACAATTAGCCTCCAAAAACCTAGAAGTGGATCTGTGGCTCACGTGGTAGAGCACTAGCCTTGTGAAAAAGCTCAGGAATAGTGCTCAGTCTCTCTGAGTTCAAGCCCTAATATTGGCAAAATCAAAACAAAAACCAGCATGTAAATGCTTCTTCCAGGTGCTGAGCTGTGAGAAAAGCATCAGGGTTTGGCCTTTGCTGTCTTTACCAGAAGAACTTGGTCTGGAAGCCACCAGGTGTGTGGTCATGGGCTGCACAGACTGTCCGGGTATCAGGTGTAGCCAGTTCCAAGAGCTCTGCTCTCCTTGGGGCTCTTGGAACATGGATAAAAAAGGGAGCTGCTCCATGCATGTACAAGCAAGAAGCCTGGCTAAGGTGATCTCCCACAAGGAGCACAGACTGGAGGTGGGTATGGGGGTTTGAGGGAGACAGAGGCACCTACCAAGAACTTCTTAGCAGAAGAAGTAGGAGTCTGAACTCAGGAGGAAGAGGGGTATGATACAGACTTGGGACCCCAAATGTTGCAGGCACATTCATGCTGTGGACTAATGTGGACAAGCCGTGTGTACCCAAATAGTGCACTTTTGTCACTGGTTTTTTACTAAGTCTCAGATAAAGCTGCTTGCTCATTGAACACTAAAGTGAATGTTACTGTTATGATGGCGTTTTAACTATTGTGTGTCTTTGAATATCGTCTGTTTCAGATTGGAAAGTGACACTGAAACGTGTGCCTGCTACTCTTTAATTACAAAGATTGTATGTGAGCTCTGTCACCACATGCCTGCACATCTCTGTGCTGTCAGGGACACAGATGGTCCTCCCACCTCAACGTGAGTTCCACAACACCGTAGCAGGCGCGGCTAGCAATACTTGGTATTGTCTGTCTTCTGTGAACACGGCCCCCACAAGGAGTTTTGGACAGGTCATTCTCTGTTGAGGCACAGGAGTGTCTGAGAGTTACCCCTCGGTCAGCACTGACCTACGCTCCCTCCTGCAGGCCCGGAGCCGGCCTGAGGCTTTGGTGGGCGCACTCCTGACTGCGTGCTGTCACCTGCAGGTGGCCCCAGGTGCTCCGTGGACTCTGCTGCATACGCATTCCCACGCTGTTCTGCCCCAGAGTCGTCCTGGAAGTGCTGGCAGTGCTCCGCAGCATCAGTTCCCAGTGCCAGCGCCTGTCTAGTCAGGTGGAGGCCTCCTTGCAGCTGAGGCACAGGCAGTGGGTGGAGCGGAGCCTGCGCTCAAGGCAGCGGCAGAACTACCTGCACATGCTCAACAGGTGTGTTCATGGCTGTGGGCCAGCCCGCTGGGCTGTGTTTGACACCTGTTCAACCCTTCCCCCTTCCACCGGTGTTGTTAGAGGCACAGCACTGGGTGGACAGCAGCTGCAGCTGGCCAGACGCAGGGAGGTGCTGCTCCCAGGCAGAGGGGAGGCTCCTGGCACAGGAGGCTGGCTAGAAGACTCCTGTGGGGGCTGCAGGGCACATGGAAGGTGCCTCGGGTACCATCTTTCTAGAACCTTCAATTAAGGCGTTTGAAGAAGATGGTGGTTAGGTGAAACTTGGTTTCCCCTCTGACGACGGAAAATTGTTACTTGGGTCAGATGGTAATCCGCTGTCTCCTTTTTAGTACTAGGCTTCTGTCTCCTGTGCTGTACCTGATTTTGTTGTTCCTTCTGTTGGAATTGGTCAGCATTCATGTCGTCTGTGGTAAAGATGCTCGTGAATATCAGAAATACCTAAAGTAAGTGTGCTCTACTTAAACAGGAATGAAACATTCATGCTTGGATAATTTCAAATAGTTCTCATGCCTAGTCAGGCACAGTAAAACTATAGTCCTGCTACTTGGGAGGCAGGGATAAGAGTGATGGCGGTTTGTGTCCAGTCAGGACGTAGACGTGGCCGGGTGTCGTGTCGGGGGCCGGGGGGGGGGGGGCACAATGCACAGTGGCTGGGCCTATGGCAATGGCCCTTGTGGTGCAGGAGAGCACAAAGGAGAGGCTCTCAGCCCAGGCCGACCCGGCCATAAGCAGGACACTGCCTTGAAAATGATGCAACAAAAGTTGGATGTGTGGCTCACGTATAGAACACCTGCCAGCCAGTGTGAGGCCCTGAGTCCAGCCCCCAGAACTGTCAGAGGTCAAATACAGAAGACCAGTTTTGACTCGACTGTTTCCTTGGTGACTTTTTTTTTTCCTAACCTTTGTTGATTCTGATGGTTCCTTAGCAGTTCTCAGAATTTTACTGCTAGTAAGCGTGTGAACATTTGAGGCTGACACCTATATGGGTATGTATGCCTCACAAAAGTAAACATGGTTTAGTATGCATGAGTCCTTCCAGAACTCAACAGTCTGTGCTACAGCACGGCAATAGGTTGGAGCTGCAGGGTAGGCATTGAGGCAGAAGCGCGTACGGGCTGTCACGCACCGGTACCTGCTGTTGCCAGGGGCATGTGAAGTCTGGGCATGGGCAAGCCCTGCCACGTCTGAAGGGCACAAGGCCAGCCATATTTGTTGGGTATAACCAATAGTTTCCAATCTGGGAAGCCTGCTTTTCAGGGCTGTCCAGATGTGGGGCTCCAAAAGTTGGTGGAACCATAGCTGGCCCAACTTAAACCAGAGCCCCGTGGACCAGGCTGCAGGGGTGCTGCTTGTGCTGGGGTGCGGCTGCCTGCAGTCTTTGTTTGCTTGTTTGTGTATGTGGTGCTGAGGAATTGAACCCAGGGCCTCGTGCATGATAGGCAAGCGCTCTGCCACCGAGCCACCTTCCCAACCCCCCCCACAGTCTTAGTGTCTCAGCTGCCTCTGAATAGTGAGGTGGGCATCAAAATAGGCCTGAGGCATTGAATACCCAGAAGCACTACGGCTTGTGAGAATGAAGTGCCAGCGTGCACGTCGTGCGGGACTGCTGAGTGTGCGGGAGCGTGCACATTGTGTGGGACTGGAGTGTGTGGGAGTGTGCACGTCGTGCGGGACTGGTGAGTGTGCGGGAGTGTGCACATTGTGGGGGACTGGTGAGTGTGCGGGAGTGTGCACATTGTAGGGGCCTGGTGAGTGTGTGGGAGTGTGCACATTGTGTGAGACTGGTGAGTGTGTGGGAGTGTGCACATTGTGGGGACTGGTGTGCGGGAGTGTGCACATTGTGGGGGACTGGTGAGTGTGCGGGAGTGTGCACATTGTGGGGGACTGGTGAGTGTGGGAGTGTGCACATTGTGGGGGACTGGTGAGTGTGTGGGAGTGTGCACATTGTGGGGGACTGGTGAGTGTGGGAGTGTGCACATTGGGGACTGGTGAGTGTGCGGGAGTGTGCACATTGTGGGGGACTGGTGAGTGTGGGAGTGTGCACATTGTGGGGGACTGGTGAGTGTGGGAGTGTGCACATTGTGGGGGACTGGTGAGTGTGGGAGTGTGCACGTTGTGGGGGACTGGTGAGTGTGCGGGAATGTGCACATTGTGGGGGACTGGCGAGTGTGTGGGAGTGTGCACATTGTGGGGGACTGCTGAGTGTGTGGGAATGTGCACATTGTGGGGGACTGGTGAGTGTGGGAGTGTGCACATTGTGGGGGACTGGTGAGTGTGGGAGTGTGCACATTGCGGGGGACTGGTGAGTGTGGGAGTGTGCACATTGTGGGGGACTGGTGAGTGTGTGGGAGTGTGCACATTGTGTGGGACTGGTGAGTGTGCGGGAGTGTGCACATTGTAGGGGCCTGGTGAGTGTGTGGGAGTGTGCACGTCATGTGGGACTGGTGAGTGTGTGGGAGTGTGGACATTGTGGGGACTGGTGTGCGGGAGAGTGCACATTGTGGGGGACTGGTGAGTGTGCGGGAGTGTGCACATTGTAGGGGCCTGGTGTGTGGGAGTGTGCACATTGTGGAGGACTGGTGAGTGTGGGAGTGTGCACATTGTGGGGGACTGGTGAGTGTGTGGGAGTGTGCACATTGTGGGGGACTGGTGAGTGTGGGAGTGTGCACATTGTGGGGGACTGGTGAGTGTGGGAGTGTGCACATTGTGTGGGACTGGTGAGTGTGTGGGAGTGTGCACATTGTAGGGGCCTGGTGAGTGTGTGGGAGTGTGCACGTCATGTGGGACTGGTGAGTGTGTGGGAGTATGGACATTGTGGGGACTGGTGTGCGGGAGTGTGCACATTGTGGGGGACTGGTGAGTGTGCGGGAGTGTGCACATTGTGGGGGACTGGTGAGTGTGCGGGAGTGTGCACATTGTGGGGGACTGGTGAGTGTGGGAGTGTGCACATTGTGGGGGACTGGTGAGTGTGGGAGTGTACACATTGTGGGGGACTGGTGTGTGTGGGAGTGTGCACGTTGTGGGGGACTGGTGAGTGTGCGGGAATGTGCACATTGTGGGGGACTGGCGAGTGTGTGGGAGTGTGCACATTGTGGGGGACTGCTGAGTGTGTGGGAATGTGCACATTGTGGGGGACTGGTGAGTGTGGGAGTGTGCACATTGTGGGGGACTGGTGAGTGTGGGAGTGTGCACATTGCGGGGGACTGGTGAGTGTGGGAGTGTGCACATTGTGGGGGACTGGTGAGTGTGTGGGAGTGTGCACATTGTGTGGGACTGGTGAGTGTGCGGGAGTGTGCACATTGTAGGGGCCTGGTGAGTGTGTGGGAGTGTGCACGTCATGTGGGACTGGTGAGTGTGTGGGAGTGTGGACATTGTGGGGACTGGTGTGCGGGAGTGTGCACATTGTGGGGGACTGGTGAGTGTGCGGGAGTGTGCACATTGTAGGGGCCTGGTGTGTGGGAGTGTGCACATTGTGGAGGACTGGTGAGTGTGTGGGAGTGTGCACATTGTGGAGGACTGGTGTGTGGGAGTGTGCACGTCATGTGGGACTGGTGAGTGTGGGAGTGTGCACATTGTGGGGGACTGGCGAGTGTGTGGGAGTGTGCACATTGTGGGGGACTGCTGAGTGTGTGGGAATGTGCACATTGTGGGGACTGGTGAGTGTGTGGGAGTGTGCACATTGTGGGGGACTGTTGAGTGTGCGGGAGTGTGCACATTGTGGGGGACTGGTGAGTGTGGGAGTGTGCACATTGTGGGGGACTGGTGAGTGTGTGGGAGTGTGCACATTGTGGGGGACTGGTGAGTGTGCGGGAGTGTGCACATTGTGGGGGACTGGTGAGTGTGGGAGTGAGCACATTGTGGGGGACTGGTGAGTGTGTGGGAGTGTGCACATTGTGGGGGACTGAGTGTGGGAGTGTGCACATTGGGGACTGGTGAGTGTGGGAGTGCACATTGTGGGGGACTGGTGAGTGTGCAGGAGTGTGCACATTGTGGGGGACTGGTGAGTGTGTGGGGAGTGTGCACATTGTGGGGGACTGCTGAGTGTGTGGGAGTGTGCACATTGTGGGGGACTGGTGTGTGGGAGTGTGCACATTGTGGGGGACTGGTGAGTGTGGGAGTGTGCACATTGTGGGGGACTGGTGAGTGTGTGGGAGTGTGGACATTGTGGGGACTGGTGTGTGGGAGTGTGCACATTGTGTGGGACTGGTGAGTGTGCGGGAGTGTGCACATTGTGGGGGACTGGTGAGTGTGTGGGAGTGTACACATTGTGGGGGACTGGTGAGTGTGCGGGAATGTGCACGTCGTGCAGGACTGGTGAGTGTGGGAGTGAGCACATTGTGGGGCACTGGTGAGTGTGGGAGTGTGCACATTGTGGGGGACTGGTGAGTGTGGGAGTGTGCACATTGTGGGGGACTGGTGAGTGTGGGAGTGTGCACATTGTGTGGGACTGGTGAGTGTGTGGGAGTGTGCACATTGTAGGGGCCTGGTGAGTGTGTGGGAGTGTGCACGTCATGTGGGACTGGTGAGTGTGTGGGAGTATGGACATTGTGGGGACTGGTGTGCGGGAGTGCACATTGTGGGGGACTGGTGAGTGTGCGGGAGTGTGCACATTGTGGGGGACTGGTGAGTGTGCGGGAGTGTGCACATTGTGGGGGACTGGTGAGTGTGGGAGTGTGCACATTGTGGGGGACTGGTGAGTGTGTGGGAGTGTGCACATTGTGGGGGACTGGTGAGTGTGGGAGTGTACACATTGTGGGGGACTGGTGAGTGTGCGGGAGTGTGCACATTGTGGGGGACTGGTGAGTGTGGGAGTGTGCACATTGTGGGGGACTGGTGAGTGTGCGGGAGTGTGCACATTGTGGGGGACTGGTGTGTGGGAGTGTGCACATTGGGGACTGGTGAGTGTGCGGGAGTGTGCACATTGTGGGGGACTGGTGAGTGTGTGGGAGTGTACACATTGTGGGGGACTGGTGAGTGTGCGGGAGTGTGCACATTGTGGGGGACTGGTGAGTGTGGGAGTGTGCACATTGTGGGGGACTGGTGAGTGTGGGAGTGTACACATTGTGAGGGACTGGTGTGTGTGGGAGTGTGCACGTTGTGGGGGACTGGTGAGTGTGCGGGAATGTGCACATTGTGGGGGACTGGTGAGTGTGTGGGAGTGTACACATTGTGGGGGACTGGTGAGTGTGCGGGAGTGTGCACATTGTGGGGGACTGGTGAGTGTGGGAGTGTGCACATTGTGGGGGACTGGTGAGTGTGCGGGAGTGTGCACATTGTGGGGGACTGGTGAGTGTGGGAGTGTGCACATTGGGGACTGGTGAGTGTGCGGGAGTGTGCACATTGTGGGGGACTGGTGAGTGTGTGGGAGTGTACACATTGTGGGGGACTGGTGAGTGTGCGGGAGTGTGCACATTGTGGGGGACTGGTGAGTGTGGGAGTGTGCACATTGTGGGGGACTGGTGAGTGTGGGAGTGTGCACATTGTGTGGGACTGGTGAGTGTGTGGGAGTGTGCACATTGTAGGGGCCTGGTGAGTGTGTGGGAGTGTGCACGTCATGTGGGACTGGTGAGTGTGTGGGAGTATGGACATTGTGGGGACTGGTGTGCGGGAGTGCACATTGTGGGGGACTGGTGAGTGTGCGGGAGTGTGCACATTGTGGGGGACTGGTGAGTGTGCGGGAGTGTGCACATTGTGGGGGACTGGTGAGTGTGGGAGTGTGCACATTGTGGGGGACTGGTGAGTGTGTGGGAGTGTGCACATTGTGGGGGACTGGTGAGTGTGGGAGTGTACACATTGTGGGGGACTGGTGAGTGTGCGGGAGTGTGCACATTGTGGGGGACTGGTGAGTGTGGGAGTGTGCACATTGTGGGGGACTGGTGAGTGTGCGGGAGTGTGCACATTGTGGGGGACTGGTGTGTGGGAGTGTGCACATTGGGGACTGGTGAGTGTGCGGGAGTGTGCACATTGTGGGGGACTGGTGAGTGTGTGGGAGTGTACACATTGTGGGGGACTGGTGAGTGTGCGGGAGTGTGCACATTGTGGGGGACTGGTGAGTGTGGGAGTGTGCACATTGTGGGGGACTGGTGAGTGTGGGAGTGTACACATTGTGAGGGACTGGTGTGTGTGGGAGTGTGCACGTTGTGGGGGACTGGTGAGTGTGCGGGAATGTGCACATTGTGGGGGACTGGTGAGTGTGTGGGAGTGTACACATTGTGGGGGACTGGTGAGTGTGCGGGAGTGTGCACATTGTGGGGGACTGGTGAGTGTGGGAGTGTGCACATTGTGGGGGACTGGTGAGTGTGCGGGAGTGTGCACATTGTGGGGGACTGGTGAGTGTGGGAGTGTGCACATTGGGGACTGGTGAGTGTGCGGGAGTGTGCACATTGTGGGGGACTGGTGAGTGTGTGGGAGTGTACACATTGTGGGGGACTGGTGAGTGTGCGGGAGTGTGCACATTGTGGGGGACTGGTGAGTGTGGGAGTGTGCACATTGTGGGGGACTGGTGAGTGTGGGAGTGTACACATTGTGGGGGACTGGTGTGTGTGGGAGTGTGCACGTTGTGGGGGACTGGTGAGTGTGCGGGAATGTGCACATTGTGGGGGACTGGCGAGTGTGTGGGAGTGTGCACATTGTGGGGGACTGCTGAGTGTGTGGGAATGTGCACATTGTGGGGGACTGGTGAGTGTGGGAGTGTGCACATTGTGGGGGACTGGTGAGTGTGGGAGTGTGCACATTGCGGGGGACTGGTGAGTGTGGGAGTGTGCACATTGTGGGGGACTGGTGAGTGTGTGGGAGTGTGCACATTGTGTGGGACTGGTGAGTGTGCGGGAGTGTGCACATTGTAGGGGCCTGGTGAGTGTGTGGGAGTGTGCACGTCATGTGGGACTGGTGAGTGTGTGGGAGTGTGGACATTGTGGGGACTGGTGTGCGGGAGTGTGCACATTGTGGGGGACTGGTGAGTGTGCGGGAGTGTGCACATTGTAGGGGCCTGGTGTGTGGGAGTGTGCACATTGTGGAGGACTGGTGAGTGTGTGGGAGTGTGCACATTGTGGAGGACTGGTGAGTGTGTGGGAGTGTGCACGTCATGTGGGACTGGTGAGTGTGGGAGTGTGCACATTGTGGGGGACTGGCGAGTGTGTGGGAGTGTGCACATTGTGGGGGACTGCTGAGTGTGTGGGAATGTGCACATTGTGGGGACTGGTGAGTGTGTGGGAGTGTGCACATTGTGGGGGACTGTTGAGTGTGCGGGAGTGTGCACATTGTGGGGGACTGGTGAGTGTGGGAGTGTGCACATTGTGGGGGACTGGTGAGTGTGTGGGAGTGTGCACATTGTGGGGGACTGGTGAGTGTGCTGGAGTGTGCACATTGTGGGGGACTGGTGAGTGTGGGAGTGAGCACATTGTGGGGGACTGGTGAGTGTGTGGGAGTGTGCACATTGTGGGGGACTGGTGAGTGTGGGAGTGTGCACATTGGGGACTGGTGAGTGTGGGAGTGCACATTGTGGGGGACTGGTGAGTGTGCAGGAGTGTGCACATTGTGGGGGACTGGTGAGTGTGTGGGGAGTGTGCACATTGTGGGGGACTGCTGAGTGTGTGGGAGTGTGCACATTGTGGGGGACTGGTGTGTGGGAGTGTGCACATTGTGGGGGACTGGTGAGTGTGGGAGTGTGCACATTGTGGGGGACTGGTGAGTGTGTGGGAGTGTGGACATTGTGGGGACTGGTGTGTGGGAGTGTGCACATTGTGTGGGACTGGTGAGTGTGCGGGAGTGTGCACATTGTGGGGGACTGGTGAGTGTGTGGGAGTGTACACATTGTGGGGGACTGGTGAGTGTGCGGGAATGTGCACGTCGTGCAGGACTGGTGTGTGGGAGTGAGCACATTGTGGGGCACTGGTGAGTGTGGGAGTGTGCACATTGTGGGGGACTGGTGAGTGTGGGAGTGTGCACATTGTGGGGGACTGGTGAGTGTGGGAGTGTGCACATTGTGTGGGACTGGTGAGTGTGTGGGAGTGTGCACATTGTAGGGGCCTGGTGAGTGTGTGGGAGTGTGCACGTCATGTGGGACTGGTGAGTGTGTGGGAGTATGGACATTGTGGGGGACTGGTGAGTGTGCGGGAGTGTGCACATTGTGGGGGACTGGTGAGTGTGCGGGAGTGTGCACATTGTGGGGGACTGGTGAGTGTGGGAGTGTGCACATTGTGGGGGACTGGTGAGTGTGGGAGTGTGCACATTGTGGGGGACTGGTGAGTGTGGGAGTGCACATTGTGGGGGACTGGTGAGTGTGTGGGAGTGTGCACATTGTGGGGGACTGGTGAGTGTGTGGGAGTGTACACATTGTGGGGGACTGGTGAGTGTGCGGGAGTGTGCACATTGTGGGGGACTGGTGAGTGTGGGAGTGTGCACATTGTGGGGGACTGGTGAGTGTGCGGGAGTGTGCACATTGTGGGGGACTGGTGAGTGTGGGAGTGTGCACATTGGGGACTGGTGAGTGTGCGGGAGTGTGCACATTGTGGGGGACTGGTGAGTGTGGGAGTGTGCACATTGTGGGGGACTGGTGAGTGTGGGAGTGTACACATTGTGGGGGACTGGTGTGTGTGGGAGTGTGCACGTTGTGGGGGACTGGTGAGTGTGCGGGAATGTGCACGTCGTGCAGGACTGGTGAGTGTGTGGGAGATTGCATGTAGTGCAGGACTGTCCCACATGGAGGGTTGGACCTCACTGGTACTTTTTCACTTGTCTTCCGAGTGTGAAAAGTTTCTAGGTAACAAGTTGCGGAACCCCAAACCTTGGGCGCTTTGAGGAGCAGGTTGGAGAAGTGAAAATGGCCTCAGCAGCAGCAGCTCTGCACGCCGCTCCTGAGGCCCTGTGCGGGAGGAGGGCAGCCGAGTGCGGAGGGGAGAGAGTGCCGGGTCCTGACACCTGGGGTCTGGGGCTGGGCCCAGCCCTCTTGTGGCTCTCTGCCAGCCTCATCCAGAACACACTGTGTTTCATAAGCCTGTTGATGGCTTGCCTTCTCCATGTTTTGGCTCTTCTGTAGCATGTGTTGCCTTATTTTCATATTGCATCTGTGTGTTTTCTGGGATCTACAGATACAAACTAAGTACTGTTTAACTCTAGGAGTAATTTCAAGAGGAAAGAGAAGACACCTAAGTCTCTTTGTTTTTTGTTTTTTTTTGCATTTTATAATGCATGGGCAAATAAATTAATTGCTCTCTTTTTCAACAGGTTTTTAAAGTCAGTCTTGCAGTATGCTGAGAACCTTGTGGTCTACACCAGCCAAGAGAAGAACAAATGGAATGAAACTGTCATTCTTACACATGCAGCTTTGTTGAAAATTTGGACTTTTTGTGAGACAAAACAAATGTTAATACATTTAGCCAGGAGAGAGTCCCAAGTGCAGCAGCCGTGTGAAAAGACTTGTAAGTCAGCTATGGCCAAAAAAACCTAAGCTGAAATAGTTGTGAACAACAAGTATGTTAACATTGAACAGTGGGAGTGGATCTGATTGATCCGGGCTCACGTGGTGCTTTCTGTATTTGACTTGCCTGTGGGGTTACCCTGAGGCTGAACTCCGGCAGCCATCAGCTGCATTAGGTTTCGTTCCATCTTCTCATGACAGACCCTGAGGAGTGGCCAACACCTGTCCTTGACAGTGATCCCTGATCTGTGTCCAAGAGGTCCGCATGAGCGGACTGGTGTGGGTGGGTCATAGCCCATCCCCACGAGTAGACCAAGGTTGGTGTGTCCACTTCTGGTAGTTGAGCACTGGTGAGCCGCTTCTGAAGGTTGCGTGGGTCGTGAGGCTTAGATGTAGTGATTTCCAGGTTTGATCCAGGCCTGAGTGTTGGAGGAGAGGAGGTCAGTGCTCCCGGCTCAGCTTGAGCCAGTCACCAGCTCCCAGGGTCCCCTTCCCAGCGGCTTGCACCTTAGTGCATCTGGGAGGTCCTTTTATCTGGACCAGATGCTCCTTCAAGACAGTGTATGCCCTAGCTGGCAGCAGCAGCTGGGCTCCCAGGAGGCTGTGCTAACCTGACTGCCCACACACATTCAGCATGCTGGTCCCACCACCTTGCAGACCTTGGCCGGGTGCAGCTGTAGCCCTCTTGCCCTATATTCTGTAGGTATCCCAGCTTCAGAGAACCTGAGGGCTGGGGAGGGGCCTAGGGGAGCCTGGGGAGGGTCCTGGGGGAGCCTGGGGAGGGGCTGGGGAGGGGCCTGGGAGAGCCTGGGGAGGGGCTGGGGGGGATCCTGGGGGAGTCTAGGGAGGGTCCTAGGGGAGTAGCCTGGCACATCCTGCTGTCTCTTTGTCAGCCCAAGCCCGCTAGTGACCCTCTCAACTAGTCTTGGGAATAAGAGAATAAAATACTACATAAAAGTCTGTTATCCGATCAATGCATGTGTTGTAGACTGGAAAGGACACAAAAGTGCTGCGTGTCTTGTCTTGTGCCTGGCGATCAGAGCTCAGTGTTTAAACTTCCCCATGACCTGTCCATCCCCTCACCTTTGCCTCCAGGACTTTGCTCACCTCCCATCATCATCCATGCTTGTTTGGGGTGCTTGGTTTTAGTATCCTATCGCTGGACTTGGAATACCAAGTTTGCCCAGAGAATCTCAGTTCTAGACATCTTCCCTGCCCTCCATTGTGTGGTAGCTGGCTGCTCACCCAAGCTGTTCGGCAGTCTCCTCATCCCCCCGTGTATGGCCCACTGGGTGCAGCCCGCGGCTGCCAGCCGCACATCACAGTGCACACATGGGCTCTGTGAGGGTCCACCTTCCGGAAGGACAAAGACAGCTCATGAGGAGGTAGCTGCTTCGTTGAGTTGCACATCCGGGCCTGGGGAAGAGCTGCGTGCTGGCCAGTGGTGCAGGCCTGTGTGGACAGTGCTCTGCTGGCTGCCACAGGTGGCATCACACCAGCCACGTTCTCCCGCACGCCGTGCATGTTAGGCCAGCACCGTCCGTGGGCCCCCTTCTGCTGAGAAAATGAGCCTCTGGAGGTCACACTGAGGAGCCATGGGGGTGGGAAGCCAGTGTGGTCAGGGGCTTCTGCTCTCAAAGGGCTTTTCTGTTCTAGGAATTGTATTTAGCTCAAGACTTCCCATGAGCCATTGGGGGATGCTTCAGGCCTGCATCCTAAGAGGCTCTGAATCTGGCTTCATGGTTCAGGAAGCCAGTGCCAAGTTCCACCAATTTTGCTGATACTAGTCAGTTGTGAGGCGCACCTGGGCCAGAACTTACCACCTGACTGCCAGTGGCTGCTTTTCAGTCTCTAGGACTTTTTGTTGTTGGTTGTGGGACCTCAACTCTGGGCCTGGGCGCTGTCCCTCAGCTCTTCAGCTCAAGGCTAGCGCTCTACCACTTGAGCCACAGCGCCACCTCCAGCGTTTTCTGCCTATGGTGCTTAGGAATCAAACCCAGGGGCTTCATGCATCCAGGGCTTCTTAAAGCCTTGTTCTTTCCCTTTCCTGACTCTCAGTCAGCCTACCACCATTAGAGAAGGATGGAGGGCAAACAAGGGTCCCTTTATGCAGGAAGCTCTGGGTTTGCAGACTGGCTTCTGCTAAGGAAATGGGAGGGCCTGGTGTCACAGGCCTAGAGGTGTTGGCTTCTGCAGAGCACTGGTGACGGGCCAGGGCTGCCCACGTGCGCAAATCGGGCTGACGTGGGGTCGGAAGGGCAGCCCCTCTGCCACGGCTGACGTGTGCGGTCGGAAGGGCAGCCCCTCTGCCACGAACCGGATGACGTGTGCAGTTGGAAGGGCAGCCCCTCTGCCATGAACCGGATGACGTGTGCAGTCGGAAGGGCAGCCCCTCTGCCATGGCTCTGTGGACCTTTCAGTTACCAGTTTGGTCTGGGCACTGGCCCTGCAATTGCATTCCAGGGAAATGTCAGCTGACCTAACCGCGTTCCCCGTTGCCACCCTGTTCAAGGCTGTAAGGACAGACGGAGCGTCCCGCATCCCTTTCTGAGTAGAACCCAAGCCCCGTGTCCCTGTCGCACTCGGCCTGCTTCCCAGCTCTCAAGGTTTCGCCTCCCAGCTCTGTTAGGAAGGGCCTGGGTGTTTTGCTATCCCTGCCCTTGTGCTGCCGCCGCCATGACACAGACCCAGCGTATGACCTTGCTGCTTCTGCAGGTGACCGGCAGTGGTGCCACGAGGTGCCAAGTTGAGCTGGTGTGACACATGCAGGTGACTGCTAAGAGGCCCCGCTGTTCCCCCAGAGGCCTCTGCCTGTTCTGACAAACACCCATTGTCTCATGTTCAGCTTACAACAGGTGCAGGCCTAGCGTTGGTCTCCGATGACTACGTTTCTGCCTGCCTTATCTCATAGCGTTACTTAGAACTACACTCCTAGAGGAAACACTCAGCTTCCATCACCCTACAGTTGGCATTGGTGGCAGGTGCGAGGTTTAGTCTTGCTCCTAGGCTAGGTTGGGTGGAGAAGTGCCTTAACACATGTGCTCTGATGTGTCAGTCATTCCCAGAGGAATGGAGGTGAAGCTCCTGGGCGGGATTTGGAGGAAAGGATGGGGGAAGGGAAGGACTCTGCTTTCCAGCGGCCATGAAGAAATTCCTCCACCCCCCACCCCCTTCCCTCTGCTGCGAAGTCCCCCTCAAGCAACCACAGACAGAATTGTCTGCAGCAACTAAGCCAAAATGAATCTTTCTTTAAATGGTTTCTCCAGTATTTGGTAACAGTGCTGACAAAATGAGTTAACGCAGAAGGTTCCTCTCTGCCATCGAGTTGATTCAGGGGTGGCCTGTGAGTTGGCTGGGGAAACCTGAAGGCCGGGAAGGTGGGCGTGTGCCTTGCTCTCCTGCCTGCTTGTCTGTCTGTCTGCTAGCTGAGTAATGCACATCAAAAGCACAAGGAAAAAATTCCCTCAGGACTTCTCCCTGGTACTCCTCCCTACTGAGTTGAAGGAAGAACCACTTCTGGCCTCCTGGGCGCACCAGGTATTCAACTGGACGGGTGGTTTTGTGAGAGCGGAGGGAATGAACGCAACAAGCAGCATTAGTGAGGTTTGTTCCTCCACGGGTCAGCTTGGTTTTTATGACGTTTTGTTGTCAGATGCCTCACTACATTGACCCAGGCTGCAACAGGTGTGGAGTTGGAATTCGTCCTCCATATATGGTGATGCCTTTTTCTGCTCTATCTTAGTTCAGAAACGAATCCTAAGTGGCACATTGTGCTTCCTCTGCACTTGTTTGTCTGTAGAATTCTCATGACTGGGCTTTGGGGAATTACCATCGTAGTTATCTAGGAGGCAGAGACAGAGAAGAGACATACCACTTTAATAAGTGGACTGTGTGGAGGCTCCCTGACCTTTCTGTCTGCGTCTCTGGTTCCTGTCCAGTATCATGGCTGCTCTTAGTTACTATGCCTTGGAGCATTTTGTCTAGAATGCTTCTTTCTCTAACTTGTTGCTTTTTTGTTGTTGTCAAGTCTGTTTTACAAGGGTCTATCAGTGGGGATTTGTTTCCTCAGACTTGACACTAAGGAACAGTATGTGTGACACATCACCAGCGAACACACGCTCTACCTGGTGGATTTTGTGTTGTCCTGCAGTGGTTTGAAACCTCATGTCTGTTCCAGAAAGAAGACAGGGCAGGATCTTTGTTGCAAGCTGACTGCCAGCTGCTTCTCCCTCTGCCCTTCTCCAGGTGGTTAGAAACCAGTCATTTTTGCCTGAAGTCACTGCCTTGTTAGTTATATTTGTATTGTAAAGGGGTCACAGTTACATGATTTTTTTTTTTTTAATTCTACCATGCGTTTTCCTCTGAAGAAGAGATATACTTTCTGGTAGAATTCACAATTAATTGGAATTTTCTTATTAAAAATGAAGGTTTGGTCATACATACATCTAATAAATGCACAAGTGCAGGGCCAGGCCCGGTAATGGAAGTTGAAAACTACCCCTCGCGTTGGGTGTGGCGATAGGAGGCCCCCTGCACTGTATCTAAACAGCTGCCAGGTGAGCACACTGCAGCCTCAGCCCACACCTGTGCGGCATGTGCGCAGAACACCGTCCTCTCTGGGGTTCTGAGAGGCAGCGCCTGGGACTGGAGGCCATTTGAGGAAGTGCCAAGTGGGGAGGCCCAGCACAGGCCTACAGATGGCGGCAGGTCCAGAGCCCTGGGCCTCTGCCAGGACTTGTCCTCCAGAGCCCTTGCCACCAAAAGATCCTGAAGCTTCAAGAGCCAGCCGAGCGGGGGACACGCGCACTCAGGCCCAGCACACACCCTGGAAGGGAAAGTGGGGCTGCGGGGCTGCAGCTCGGTGGCTGGATTGCTGGAGTAAGGACTGCTTACAGTTAAGGTTCACGAGCAAGTTACTGAGCTCCTGGTGACTGCACAGATTGTTGATAATGACGGTGCTGTTTCTGAGTGGATGGTGTGAGGCCAGGGGGAAGGGATCATGGCAGTGCTTTGCCCAGCCTTCCTAAGAGTGTCGTTAAATAGGAGCTCCTGTTCGATTATTGCAGTATGCTGAGAGGGAAAGACCAATTT